GTATAAAATGCTTTGGTTAATATTTCAAATGCTCAAATAAAAAAAAAATAAAAAGTTACTGAGTTTATGCTGTTGTGATGGCCTTGTTGACTTATTAGAGGTTATTCTATAGCTTGAAGAAAAGGAAGACCTTTCTCTAGCTGAATTTATTTAAAGAAAGGCACCCTCGATGTATTTGAAAGCATTTACATTCAAATGTATCAACAATTTCTGGTGTTAAACTGTGTTTCCCTTCTAGCAATTCCCCCGAAGTGGCAGCTAAATTTAATTTTATGAAACTGAATTTTCCTTTAAACCCAAGTAAGGAATACTTAAAAATATTTTGTCCTAATCAGATGCTCACAATTGAGTAGTCATCAGCAATGCTTCAGAAAATGTTACAGTAGTTAAACCACATGGTAAGGAATAATGAAAGTCTGCCATTATCTCATAAGAAACAGCATTAACTCTCTTCCAAAAAGAGGCATATGGGTACTTTTTTTTTTCTGCCTTGTACTTATCACTGCTTGTCAGGATCAAAGTTCACGTGTCTGCTACTTCTGAGAGTATTTTCCAAATTAGGTAGGTTTTGGTATGAATACACCTTCATAGGTAGCTGATGTGGTGTTTTACAGATGCTAGGGCATATCAGAAGTCTGGTGAGTGATACTGGCTGATCGGGTTCTCAGTGCTTACAGTTTTGTCTGCCTGTGCCCACTTAGGGTGGACCTGTGTCATGTATGCGTGTTCTAGCTGGTATTGATGATGAAATGTGATGTGATTTGAATAACATCAAACTCATCCTTTTTTTTAAAGGAGGGGGAAGGGAGAAAAAACAATGTCTGAAGTCTCCTGCGTTTCTTAAATTGCTGACTCTGAGTTTTCAGCTAATGTGTTAGCCATAAAATGCTTCTTATTGACTCTTAATTTGGTAAAATTCTGAATGTGTTTCATATGTGCAGCTGAAAGCTTGTTGTTTGCTAATGTTGTAATGTATTTGTGGGATCAAAAGACTTGGGGTGTGTGTCTGAAAGTAGGTGAGCACCAAGGGTAGAATCTGGAAAACCAAAGGAGTGTTTGCTGTAACAGGCCCAGTCTACTGAAATACAAGTTTTCACCGTGTCGGAGTAGAAATGGGGAAGAGATAACTGATGTACTAGACAGACACATGCTTCATAGGTAGAATCCAGAAAAGTCCTTTCATTAGGGTTGACCTTTCCTACCCTGGAATATCTGAATCTTTTCATTCCTGTGCTGTCAGCAAACATTTGTTGAAAATCATTAGGAAAGTGTTCCATCCCTTTCTGTTTGCCCAGGTATCTGTAGCAAGACACCTCCCACGAGTGTCTCAGTAATGATTACTTAAAAGAATTGTATTGCTCCTAGAAGAGTGCCAGAAGGCTTTGTAGTAATTTTTTCCCCGATTTTTACATAATAAAGGTCTTCTATTACCTTTAATTTTATTAAAGCTGTAAAATTTGGCATTTAAACATGTTAAAATGAGGTAATGAAGGTTGTCTGTTTCATATGCCCATTTGCAATTTTCTAATGGAATATAATTTTCCTAAAGACGGTAGCCTGAGTCAGAGCATCAAGTGAGCAGTGTTCATTCTTAATGACTGTCTATTAAACATTTTCGTTATTCATTGTGTGTACATATAAATTGTACACAGTTTATATGTACTGCATGCTGTTTTCTGAAAACCTAATTTTGGAAAGAAAATACAAGAAATTGAAACAAACAGAAAATGAAATTATTCTAACAAATCACTGAGGACAGTCACATTGTCCTCATTTTCCTGGAGCTATACAGGCAAAGATCAAAAGCATGTGCATACTTCTGTGAGCCCATTTTGAAATGCTCAATAAACCAACTCTAGAAACATTTAGTTGAGTATGTCTGGTATTGCAGGCAGCTGTTTCTTAGCTCACTTCAGCTGCTGCTGAAATACTCGTGCTTCTGCAAGGTGTTCACGGTAAATGGGGAATGCAGTCCTACACTTCTCACCCCTACCTCTCAGAGGAAGTGATTTGCTTGCTATTGCTCAGGGCTCTCTAAGTTGAGTACTACCTGCTCCTCCATGACAGCATTCTCTGTCGTAATAAGATGACTTTTGTTCTTGCGGGGGACTGAAGGATGAGTTGTATTTACTGCATGATCAGGTTTTGTTGTCAGAGGATGCGTGTTCAGTGCACTCAGTGAGGCTGCAATCTTACACACATGAAAAATAGTTGGTTTTATTACTAAAAGTTGTATAGTGCCTGCATGCAGTGCTGCCAAATAGAGATTGTGTGACCAAGTTTAATTATATTATATTCAACTACTGAATCATAGAATTACAGAGTGGTTTGGGTTGGAAGGGACCTTCATAGAAACATAGAATAGTTAGGGTTGGAAAGGACCTTAAGATCACCTAGTTCCAACCCCCCCCTGGCATGGGCAGGGACACCTCACACTAAACCATGTCACCCAAGGCTCTGTCCAACCTGGCCTTGAACACCGCTAGGGATGGAGCATTCACAACGTCCCTGGGCAACCCATTCCAGTACTTCACTACCCTTACAGTAAAGAACTTCTTTATATCCAGTCTAAACTTCCCCTGTTTAAGTTTTAACCTGTTACCCCTTGTCCTGTCATTGCATTCCCTAACGATGAGTCCCTCCCCAGCATCCTTATAGCTCCCTGTCAGATACTGGAAGGCTGCTATGAGGTGTCCACGCAGCCTTCTCTTCTCCAGGCTGAATAGCCCCAACTCTCTCAGCCTGTCTTTATACAGGAGGTGCTCCAGTCCCCTGATCATCCTCGTGGCCCTCCTCTGGACTTGTTCCAACAGTTCCATGTCCTTTTTATGTTGAGGACACCAGAACTGCACTCAGTACTCCAGGTGAGGTCTCACAAGAGCAGAGTAGAAGGGCAGGATCACCTCCTTCCACCTGCTGGTCAAGTTCCTTTTGATGCAGCCCAGGATACAGTTGGCTTTCTGGGCTGCAAGCGCACGCTGCCTGCTCATGTTCATTTTCTCATCAACCAATACCCCCAAGTCATTCTCCACAGGGCTGCTCTGAATCTCTTCTCTGCTGAACCTGTAGCTGTGCCTGGGATTGCTCCGACCCAGGTGTAGGACCTTGTACTTGTCATGGTTAAACTTCATAAAGTTGGCATCAGCCAACCTCACAAGTGTGTCGAGGTCCCTCTGGAAAAGATCATGCAGTTCCAACCCCCCTGCTATGGCCAGGGACAATTGCCACTAGACCTGGTTGTTCAGAGCCGCATCCAACCTCGCCTTGAGGACTGCCAGGGATGAGCAGCCACAGCTTCTCTGGGCAACCTGTGCCAGTGTCTCACCATGCTATAACTCTCTGGTTATAGCAAATAATTTCTTCCTAATATCTGATCTAAATCTACTCTTTTTTAGTTTAAAGCCATTCCTCCTTGTCCTGTCACTACATATCCTGTGAAAAGTCCTTTCGGTTTTACTTGCGTTTAATATTGGCAGTCCTGATTTAGTGGTTAGACTTGATCTTAACGGTCTTTACCAACCCAGTCGATTCTATGATTCTAATATACATTCAGTGGAATGACCTATTTAACAAGCAGTCTGACATGATGGGTATGAGCTTTTCTGAATTGTACGTAGGATTCAGGCCTGTCACGGAGTGTTCTCTGTCCCAGCTGCTTCAGAAGGGTTAAAGTGATATGCATGGTTGCTAATAAAAGTCTGCTTGCTGAAAGTAGGCAGCTGTTGTTCATGTAGTAATTGTGCAGCTTTTTGCAATCCTGATGAACCCTGCTTTGAGAGAGATACATGAGATCCAGGGGAAAATTGCCTTAGTTCTGTGCTTAAAATACTGTTAAACTAGGATCAGAAGCTATTTCTTGCTTTCTTGACAGCAGTAGGTGATAAATACTTGGTTTCCTGTATGGGGAAATAAACACTGATCTGATTGAGTAGTCTGTAGCATATCCAAGCTGGCACAGTTTGCTTTGTCCGAAAAGATGGGTACTCTGTGGCATCAAGGTACTGTGAATTACTCTATGATGAGAGCTGTGTGACTAAGTGTCATGTTAAAAATCTCTTGTTTTCAGCTTTATTTATTTTGGAGTCAGTGTTGTTTATTATTTGGGTCAAGAAATACACTTCAACAGTATCCTTGTGTAAAATGTCTCAAATGCACACCTACAGGAAAACAGGTTTGCTATGCATTAGCAAATTACTGCATAGCAAAAGATTTCAGTAAGCCTGGAGTTTAAAGTGCAGAACCATAGTTTTGACTTGTAGTTTTTCTTTTGTTTTAAAAGGAAAAAAAGAGGGTGCTTTTAATGTGTCCAAAACTCTTCTACATTAAATTTCATTTATGATATAATAATCATACAATTGTTATATACGTGCTTCTTCATTTTCTAGTGAAATCCATGTGGTTTTTTTTTAACACTGTTTGTGCAGAAGAGGATTTCTTTTAATCCCATTTAATTCTGTTTATGTTATGAATAGACTTTGTCTTGTGTGTAATAAGTATCTATAAAATTCACAGATTGGGAGATTGTGTTAATACCCCCTCATCCCTGGCCACCATCATCTCTTGGCTCAAAGACAAAATTTCTTTCCTTAAAGCAGTCAGTGTTTACTCGTCTGCTTCCCTTGTCTCCAGGGAATTGTGCAAGAATTACTTGTATTTTCTTAATTGCATTGTGTCAGGAATTGGTGAAACAACTATTTCATCTTTGTTCAGATGAAACTGTAGACTTTCACTAGAAGATGAATTCCTAGGTATTAAAAACTTAAAGGGTGATATTTTGTGAGCTCAGTTGTTTTGAATCTAAACAAAAAGATTCGTTGTGGCACTTTCCTCAGGCTAGTATCTAACTGCAGAGACAAATTTTATTTCTGAAGTTTGTTTGTTGGAGTAGTTCCTGCATGTCATGGAGACTCTGAACTTACTGTATAATGTTGTTGTTCCCAGAGATACCTGTGACTTAGATGAGGAAGTATTTATTGATTTGTCATTTCTTTCATTTTCAGGCTGCCTATCACAGAGAGCGTTGGAACTGAATATGCTGAAAAATGCAGACAGGCAAAGTCACAAGAGCAAGAAGTAATTGGAAATGACCAGCTTGTCTATAGAACAGGTAAAAAAAAAAAATATATATATATATATATATATATATATATATATACACACATTTGATTCCTATTATAATCTCAGATACCCCTGTTCTTTTCCACCTTGTGGTCTTTCCTCTGGAATCTATGAAGCTATGAAACCTTACTGTGTATTTCTTATTTGTTTAATGCTGTATGTGCCTTTATTTTGTATAAGGCATAGTATTAAAAAAGGAATATTACTTTGTGGAAACCACCATGTATAATGCTGTTGTGTAGATATATGTGCGTACCTCTAGTTTATTGTATTGATAAATGTAGATAAATGATTGAAATATCATTTCAAGGAAAAGATATCACTTATTGCAGTCATGCTTTTCTCTGTTCTGTTTTCCCATTTTCTATTCATGTTATTCTGGTTTATACTTGATTGTTGCTTTGAACTGCCTTTAGAGAGGAATTTTATTGCACTTCTTTCCCCTGAGCTCTGGTTGTTATTGCTATTAACTTTTACTTACAGACAAATTCAGGAATATTATGTTAGTATGATACAGTCAAGAAGATCAGTGTGTGAGCATGAGATTTGTACTGTTAATTTATGGATTATAAAGGTGAATGTTTTTAATAAGACTGATATTAAGAGCTCCGAGACCCCTTTGTAACTGTCAGCTCTATCAGTCTGGAGGTGCATGTTCTATTTGGGAACATGAAAATTGTCATAAATGATCAATAATTTATCTAGACCAGGCCCTACCATTCTTGTTGTGTCGAGTACCAATGTAGTTAAGAAATAAGCTGCACAACATAGAAATGAAAAACTGATTTGCCCTGAGGGTTTTGGAGTCAGTACCCCTTCTATTGCTTCTTTCTGAATTGCTGTTCTAACTGTATAAATTGACAGCCCATTTTAAATCACAGCATCAGAATGGTTAGGGTTGGAAAGGAGCATAAGATCACCTAGTTACATTAAAAATGTGCAAGAGGAAGAGGACTGCAGTGGAGAACAGAAGTCTCACCAGCAAAGGCTCTGGATTAAGCTCTTCAGGGCTCAGTCAGCAGCAACTTCATGTACTTTGTGTTATGACTGAAATACTGTAACTTACCTGTGAATGCCCAGCGCTTTATGGCTCAGTGTAGGAGCCACTACACAGAGTGTAGTGCTTTCTGTGGCTTTCCTTTTACATGAGTTTGCTTGCTAACTGCAATCACGTTGTGCATTTGAAGCTTTGACACCAGCAGAATGATCAGTAATGTAGTCAGGATCTCATTTGATTCACCTAACCAGTACTTTCAAGTATACTTTTTTATGCATTTCATTTTAATTTGCTGGGAGATACCAAGATCCAGCTTTACAATTCCTTTTCCTAGAACTGGTAAATACAAAAATCTAATCTTGTGTTATAGGATCTCTTCAAATTCAATTCGGGAAACAGGTACCAGAAGGAATACATCTGCTATACAGGCTACAATAACTGAGATATTGGAAAATGTCTCTTTCCATGGACAGTAGACTGTTTTAGTCATGGCAGTCAACATAGCTCTACAGAAGCTTTATGATAGTGGAAAAGGAAGTAAGCAGGCAAAATTGTCTTTCCTGTATGTTGCGGTTTAACTAGGTTTTCAGTTTATTTTGCACTGACTCTGAATATAGAAATTAATATCATTATTTATTCTGGATTGGAATTAATGCTTGTTATACACAGAAATACTTCTCTTGTCATAAAACAGAGTGGTGTGCAGTTGCAGGCATCCTCATTTTGCTATTTTTAGGTTGCAAGTGTCCTGCATTCTCTGTGTGCCAGAATCCAAGATGCATGTTTGAGCATGAGGATGTCTAACAGAGGTGTGCAGTAGTTGGGTTTGTTTGGCCCACTCTTAATAATGTTTTCCATAAAGTATAAGCAATTGAAAAAGTGAAACTTTGTACTTGCCAATAAGTCTGTACTCTGGTAGCTCCTTGAATCTGCAGGTGCCTCTCTTTTTTTAAAGACCAGTTCTCATTCTGATATTTATCAGAACTTTCAAAAAGGTGTACATTCAAGTATATTTCTGTTCTGCAGAGAAAATATTTACGGCCTTCTAAGATGGTTACCCAGTTCCAGGTTGGTTTGTTCACTAATAATACTGGGTTTCAGAAAAAGGGTTCATGCTCAGTTTTAGAGTGGGCCTTTTCATGGCATCTTTGGTCACATCAGTGTTTAGCTGAAGTCACCAGTTTACTCTGAGGCCCAAGACTGTACTGCCTGCTCTAGACAAAAGTCTCACAGTTGTCATAGTATTAGTTCCTCAGGCAAAGTTGGTAATGTTTGTTTCAGTTTAGGCACAGAGTACATGTCTTGAAGACAAGAAACTCAAACCGTACAGGTTTTTGTATTTGGCAATGTAAACTAAATGATTGTATGACTGCCAGTTCTCAAACTGTATATTGATGGTGGCTAACATTGGATGGCCATTTGCTTTTGGCATATTTTTTCCCCCCAAACTTTCATGCTAAGAAGAAGGTAAGATATTGCTGTCATAAACTGTTATATAAAAAGCAATATTAAAAAAAAAGTTGTATCATCAAAGGAAAAATTATATCTGAAATGAATTAAATTGATCTCATGAATACCGGTGGGTCTTCATTTGTTTCTGGTTTGTTCCTTTGTATTTTATAAATAAAATTCTTAATTGAATTTTAAGTTAATGATTTCTTACTAATATACAGAGGGTTTCTGAGTTAGAGAAGCTTATAATATGAATCATACCATTTAAATTTTTTGTCCCTCCCTTCTTTTTTATAAGCGCTTTCTAGAATTACTGCTGTCCTCTGTTGTATGCCTTAACACATTTTTCAAAATTGCAGTTGTTAAATGGAAGACCTAATAAAGGGTAGGAATGCTGTGTTGCTTTAGCAGGAGTATGCTGATGCTGGGTGCTTTTCCCTAGCAGCTTGAGATTTCTTCCAACATTGGTCAAATCATGTAGAGCTTCTGATGTCTCAGTAGTGACATGTTTGTGCCAGAGGGAAGCCACTCAAGCCTTTGTGCAGTGTCGCTGTGACAGAATGCTATATATGAGTTTTCCTGGGAAATCTATTTATAAAGTTGACCAAAAGTATTTTAAAGAGGACAGTTAATGTTTTCAAGGGAAGCTGCTATTAAGTTCTCCTTAATATGTGTTTAGTAGTGCTGAGTAAATCACTGTGCAGTGATCACCTATAACTTGCATTATACAGATTCTAGGTAAAGAGCCGTTCTGTTGGAGAGTGCGGCTGCAGGAGAACTTGGATTTTCAGTGCTTTGTGAAACTGTCTTAATGACCTGTCCAGCTTTTGGGACTTTATTTTAATCTGGGAGTAACACATTTGTAATCTTTGACACTTGGAGACTGTCTGGGGGGGTTGCAGCACATTCAGGTATGGTGCAGAGACAAAAGTTGTTCTGCCTGCTTCTGTTTCACTGCTGTGTGCGATTGTTAGTAGCTTTTCTGAAGAAAGGAAACTGACTGGGCAGTGAGGTATGTAGTCTATAGCTTTTATTTTACAGTCAATAGTGCCTTAGTAAAAATACTAGATTTCTTTCCCACTACTGTGTATTTCTTACAGAAACAAGAAGACATGAAGTCTTAAGTTTTTATAACTGTATGAAAATAGGTCAACTTCACTGTAGTTTCTGATGAAACTCAGTTGAAATAGAAAGCGTTTCCACTTTTGATTGCAATATAGTGGGGTTGAATTGTATCTCGCTAAATTGTTGCCTACCAAAGTTTTCACCTTCCACATCTGCCTCCACACCTGCTCGATTGCTTTTTTGTTTTCCATGGTCAAACTGACAGGCTGCTGAGCAGAAACTTATGATAGCGCTGAAAGATTTTTTTTTTTTTTTCTTCCTCTTGTTCCCAGTAATAGCAGTGACTAACTCCTGCAGAGAGACTGCAGAATGTAGTGTCACATTGAAAGGTCATCATGATACCAGACTTGTTTTAATTGCCAAGTCATACAAATAGTGTACTGGCTATTTTGTATTGTGTAAAGTCCAGGAGACTTTAGGGGAAATAACACATGGATACATGAATAGGGCATATTTTTTTCAATATTGTCAAATTCTTGGGAACAGGGATAGATTTGGCAGTTGTATGTAAGCTGTGCCAAACCATGCTTAATTAAGAGAAAGGCATATAGAATTATAGGATTGTATACATCCTTGATGCTGATGTGGTTTATACATAGAAGCAATCTTTTTCAGAGCTACTGCCAGTAAAACAGGTGCATAAATGCAGAAAAATCTCTTCCAATATACCAGTGTTGAAAAGTATTAATCCTATTAGTAAGTATCAGTATGTGGCTCAAATTTGATAGCAGTTAGGTTTGCAAATACTGTGGTCATTTTCTGCTGGTCTTTCCTTTTCTCTATTGAAATAACTTACTCTTGGTTATTTTTATGCCTAGATACTTCACTGGGTCAGTGTGAATCAAGTGCTCTGACTTTTGTACCGATAAGTAACGATAAATGTCTGGATTTGCCTTTAGCCAAACACAGAGAAGAGGTAATTTTGTTGTACTTCCCGTTATGGAATAAAGCTGAAAATCATGTTTTGTTTCATTGGGTTTTTTGATTGGTTGGCTTTGGTTTTGGTTGGGAGTGGGGGAGGTTTGGTGTTTGGGTTTTGTTGGGTTTTTGTGGGGGTTTTTGGTTTGGGTTTGTTTTTGTTTTTTTTTTTGTTTGTGGGTTTTTTAAGTTCTGTTCCCGTTTTAAGCATTTAGTCTTGTTCTTAAAAGGAACAAAACCTTTGTTCATTTTAAAACACAGTGTAAAAATTCTTAGCAGAAGAAACATTGGTGCTACACTCTCTGTTTAAAGGAATTTATGTAAAATATGTAAGCAAGTGCATGCTCATGTCCTTTTCTGTGATCTTCTAATGTGTTTTAGGAGTCCAGTTATATACAGATGCCTAAGAGGTGATAAAAAATACGGCACAATGTTTTATACAGAGGTCTCATGTGTGGCCTGGAAGCTATTGATACTTCAGATCTGTTTGAAATCTGTTTTGAGTTGCTTTGTAGACTTACGAGTTTTCTTGAAAAATTGTTTCAGATAGTGTCTCTGATAGAAAACAATACAGTTGTGATTATACAAGGAGCAACTGGCAGTGGTAAGAGCACACAGATTCCACAATATATTTTGGATTATTGGTTTGAGAAATCTGTCTACTGCAACATTGCTGTTACCCAGCCTCGGAAAATTGGTGCCAGCAGCATTGCCAGGTGGATTAGCAAGGAACGATCATGGAGACTGGGTGGATTTGTAGGATACCAGGTATAAGAAAATTTGAAATGTTTTTAAAAATACATTAAGAAGTACTGTATTTTCTGTCTGGATTATGTTTATCTAGCACACTTAAATGTTAGAGAATCTGTTTTTAAAGTGAAATTGCAGGTTTCTAGCTGTCTCTTGTTAAACAATCATCATTAAATGCTTAAGCTTTTGAAGTTAAACAACTAGAAATACTAGTTAGACTCCTACAGAAATATGTAATGGTCTTCATTCTGGCAATTGAGTGCATCTATAAATCACTGAAATTGTTGCAGGAGAGCTATACTGTGTCATTTTTCATTTGAATTCCTCAACATACTTGATTTGTTTGACTCTGACATTAACCTGTCAGCTGTATCAAAACTTTCTTGCATTGTATGGCCAGATGGTTTCACTAACATCTTATTCTTTCATCTTAATATGTGGAAAAACTTGACCTAGTTTTCCTCTTAAGTTTGCCTCTTCCTTTTGTCCAGCTCTGCTCCAAACTTGGGTCTGTCTCTCCCTTTATAAACTTAATGCCACTGTCATCTTCTGACACAGATGCTAGTTCTTCAGTCAGCTCTGTCAGTAACCATAATAATCTGCTGTGATCCTTGTTTCAGTGGCAGCTAGAGTGAATAATTTTGATTGGTTTAAACTGAATTTCATTTTGGAGTTATTTCAAAATGCATGTTCCTGTAAATACATTCAATATCTGTTCTCATGTGTATTGCTTTTCTCACTGTGTTAGGTGAGTTTAGAGAACATTTCCACGAAAGAGACAAGGTTGCTGTACATGACAACTGGAATTCTTCTTCAGAAAGTAGTTAATGCCAAAAACCTAGCTGAATTCACACACATTTTCATTGATGAGGTAAGTTGGTGGAAATAAGTTTAAATTTCATAGAAAGAAAAACTTCAATTTTGTCTCTTTTATATGCTAGAGAAACTAAAATGCAGACATCTGCTCATAAAGATCATAGAATCATAGAATAGTTGGGGTTGGAAAGCACCTTAAGATCATGTAGTTCCAACCCCCCTACCATGGGCAGGGACACCTCATACTAAACCATATCACCCAAGGCTCTGTCCAACCTGGCCTTGAATGCCGCCAGGAATGGAGCATTCACACCTTCCTTGGGCAACCCATTCCAGTGCCTCACCACCCTAACAGGAAAGAGCTTCTTCCTTATATCCAATCTAAACTTCCCTCGTTTAAGTTTGAGCCCATTACCCCTTGTCCTATTACTACAGTCCCTAATGAATAGACCCTCCCCAGCATCCCTATAGCCCCCCTTCAGATACTGGAAGGCTGCTATGAGGTCTCCACACAGCCTTCTCTTCTCCAGGCTGATGCTTTGTGTAAGTTGTTTAAGCTAACACTTTTCGAAATGGGGCTTGTCTCGGTGGTCCTTTGAGCAGCAAAGTTTAGAACTGAGGGTGTGGGGAGGATTTGGGGGAGTGCTTAGCTTTTGATATGATTGCCTTGAAATGCTTTCTGAAATCCTCTGTGTGGATTTCAAGAATGTGTCTGGCTAGTCCTTGTAGGGGGAGGCAGCTAGTTTTTATTCACTTGGCTGTTACTGCCCTAGAGTTCTTACTCTTCAGTGGTGTCCTGAAAAATAAAATGGCTCTCAAAAGTTCTTTGTTTTCTTTCTGGATTTACAGTCCACTCATGTGGATTCATTATTATTGCTGTCACTTCACAAAAAAGCTAAAGAAAATATACTTGGTATTTTTGTAATTGGTGTCTTGCTGTGCTTATTTTCTGTGGTAAGTGGTATTTGACTGTTAGATGTAGTCATGAGTGAAACTGTACTTTTGCAAAGCAGGAATGTAAATCATAGGTTAGATGTGATGTAGGACTTACATCTTGAGATGTAGTGACAGAGGACTTAGAGCCTTTCTGGGCTTTGGTTTGGTGGGGGGGGTTTGTGTTGGTGGGGGTTTTTATGCTGGCTTTTGTTCTTATTCCACTGTGGTACTATAGCTGAGAGGGACTTGTCTCCCTGCTCCCCAAATATCCAAGAATCAATACTTAGTATCCCATTAGACTATTACAGTAATAATGATGGCTGTTATGACTGTACTTGAAATGGCACTTTGAAAACTCAGAAAAGATTGAGCAAATGGTTGCACTTTTGTATGAAGAAATTTTAGGACTTCATTTAAACAGACAAAAGAACCCCAAACCCACATATCCTAAAGAATTGTGCCAGTTATCTTCATGGGAAAGTTTTGAGACCACTCTAATATATTAAGAGTCCTGTAAACCTCAATACTTCAACGCAAAAGATAAGGAAATGCAGGTTAGATGTAGGATGCAAAAGTTTAATAGACGATGCATACTTAGAAAAATGTTAGGTTGTTTCTTTAGTTTTAAAAATTATTAATTGGATACGAAAATTAATGGCGGAACTTTTCTGTCCCATTACACAGGAAAACAGAGATTATTCAAACCTTACTTGTTTGGGTGCTGTAATTTGAATTGTTGGTATCAATGTGTACCACTTCTTTCAGCATCTCCCAGCTTTCAAGATTATATGTCTTTTGCTTCCCCAGCCAAAATTCTAGTTTCTCCTGTTCCCCATTAGCCACTTTTTTCCCCCATATCTCCCACAGACTATGATCTTGAAGCAGTAGTAAGTATTCCAAAACCAACATGTTCTTCACTGCATTCTTAGTTGCAGGTCCCAGCCTTTTTAAGGTACTGCAGGTGTTTAGGAACATACCTAAACAAACGTAGGTCCAAAAATCATGACTTCTCACAGCAAGACCTTGCTGTCAGCCTGAAAACCGCGTTAGCTAAACAATTTTCATGATGGTGCAGTATATCTTTATGTTAGAATATGCTAATTACATTATAGGGCATAAATGTCAACCTTTGAAGGTTGAACTCTGGAAAAGCTGCTGCACTTCATAAACTGCAATTCAAGAAAGGAACATGATCATCATTAATATTGAGATGAAGTATTCATTGAACTGCAGAGAGCAATGAGAAAAGTCAAGTGCTAGGATATGTAAAGAATTGGGTAGAAAATAATGTTTTAGAGAGTTGTGTATTTTGATCATAGCTAGAAGCTGTTGGAAGTAAGAGGTGTTTCTTCATTTGTTTAGCTTGTAGGCAAGTCATCATAGTCCTTGCCTGGATCATTTGTAGTCTTAACAGTAAAATTGTCTTACTGAACTTCAGTATCACTTCACTTGTTACTATCATTTCTACTAGAGCTAGTGGCTAGACCTCAAGATTGGTTATTCCAGTAATTCTGCAATTTTCTTGACTTAGGAGCATATGACTTTCAGAAAGGGTGCTATAGTTGTTTGAAGAGCTGTGTTGGGATTTCTTAAAATGTGATTAACATGCATACTCCTGCATTTTATTCTGTGAAACTGTATTGTTGTTCCAAGTTACAAAAATAAAACATGAAATTGAGTAGCAAAGGAAGAGATTGCCAAAAAGAAAAGCATGACTTAATGAAAATTAAATTGTGACTAATGTCTTCCAGGTGCATGAGCGTACAGAGGAAATGGATTTCTTGCTCTTGGTGATCCGTAAACTATTGCAAACAAATTCCCAACCTGTAAAGGTAGGTTCAGTTATATTCTGCTAGTCTTGTTTGTGGGGATAATTTTTTTGCATGTTTTTTTATCTACAAGGGGCATGTTTTAAAGAACGTAGCATAATTGTGTCATTATTTTGTTACTAAAATATTACCTAGTTGGCCACTCTTTATAAAAAGCCAGCTAAAGGGCATTCTTTTTCTGGCTGCTGGAATGTGTTCTGAGAGACTTTATTCTTTTTTCACCCTTGTGTTAAAATGCATTAGTTTCTAAAGTCTGCTTAAGGCTAAAAAATACAAGATGGATATTTGACTAGAATTACATATTGGGTATCGAGGGCAGTATTTATCCTTAGTTAAATGTGGTAGCATTAACTCTTGGAAATACTGAGCTTTTAAAAAAACTTCTTTTTTTTAATTTATTTGGAAAAGCAAAAAAAAAATCAACTTGGGTGGTAATTTCTAGGCAGAACTGGTAGTAGAACATGGCTGAGATTTTTCTCTGCATGTTAGGAAATTATGCTTTGTACTAAAGCAGAGTTTGCAGAGATGTAGCATGACATATTTAGTCTTTGTGGTCTCAAAGCAATGAACTTTTGAACTGTAAGAAATTAAATACAAGTCGCAGAGTTAGGCTGTCTATTTCTGTGCAGCTGTTTGGGACCGCAGAAATTTTGCAAGACTGTAGATGTCCTTTTAAGTGCTTCAGTTAACTTTTAATGTGAACTGTTCTGTTCAAAGCAGACATAACTTGAGTCTATGTTGGCTGGTTTTGTTGTTATTGGAATGGAATTGCCACGTTGATTCAAACTTGGGTAACTTGGTCTTAGATCTTCTAAGCATGCTGTCACGAAAAGTGCCCTTCCAGTTGGCACAGAGTGTGTTTACGCACTTCACATCTTTCACTTTTTATCCCTTTTCTTCCCAATAAGACTACTCATTTGTCTTTAAATTCAGAGGCAGAAATCTGAAGCTGTTCAGCTTTTAACACTTTGCTCTGCTTCCTGAGGATACCAAGTAATTCGATCATACTCAGTTTGAAAAGTTTGCCCATGATGCTGATTATCTGGTTGGTGTCAGTGGCAGGAATCCCTACAGGTCCTATCATATCTTCTGTTAGAAAAAATTCTTCTTTCATAGGTTTCTGATTTTATTTTTTTTTCTATAGGTCTGATTAAATATCTCAAAATCATTGCTGGGAAACCTTCTCCTCTCTATCTGTCTCTGCAATTGTTTCTTCAGATGACAGCTTGTTTCATATTGTATAAATCTGAGACAGACTGTCTGTTTGTGGGGGGTTGCTTTGAATTTTCGTTTAATGGTGGGGAGGGGTGTCATGAAACTGAGGGTTTAGGGTTACTAAATCAGTAATTTTAATAGAAATTTATGTGTGATTCAACAGAATTTGATAGCAAGGTCCACTCTTACATACAGAAGAGATTGTGTCAGAATTGGCAATGATTTACACAGTATGGGGTTAAGTGATTTATACAGAATTGAATTGAAATAATGTGTAAAGAAACAAAAAATATAAAGGAATAAGGGAGACCCTTCTGCTGAGTCATGACGTTCAGGCTAGACCCCTTTGCTTTCTTAACTCCTAATGGAGCCTGCATGTGGCTGGATGTAGTCCTTGCCTCAGACTTGGATGATGGTTTGTGTCTAAATGAAATCTAGAAAGTAAAATCAGGGTAGAGGTGTTGTGCGGGGATGCACCACCACATGGGGGAAACTCTTGATCTCAGTTGCTGCATTTTAACACAGTGGCATGGGTAATTCAGTTTGAATCTATGTGCTAAGGCCAGTGTCTCCTACTTGATCCCTTTTCAGCCCCTTTTGAAAAACTGTAAGCAGAGTTCGATCATGTGGCAAATTCATTTAGAAAATACAAGATTATTTTCCCAGCCTCCATGAACTAAAATTGTGTGAGGAAGCCTCTTTAAAGGGTAAAATTGTATTTATAATTCAGGGTGATATGAAATACACATGAGGTGTTTGCCTTCTAGTTTGAATATTGCAGACCTTGGGAGTAGCAGGTAATTCAACATTGCATCAACTAACAGGATGGCAGGAGTGATTCTGACATGAGGACAAGATACACCTGTTGTGGTTCACTATCACCAGTGTTACGTTTTCTGGCAGATGGCTGGTGCAGATTATTGGTTTTGGATCACAGCAGACATTTGGGTGTTCTAAGATTGATTTTGCTGGGATGGGGGTGTTGCAAGAAAAATGCCTCTATTGTGTCAGACCTTAATGTAAAGGATGTGACTAGGATATGTACCTGTGGTAATGAAATTAGACCATTTTAGCATAAAGAGTAAGTGAGATTCCAGCATAGCATGGCATTTTGTGTTCAAATTAATGTTTTATATCTGCTGTGCAATTTTTTCAACAGGTGATATTGATGTCTGCTTCCATCAACTGTAAAGAACTTGCTGATTACTTTGCACTTCCAGATGAGAATGGTCTGAATCCACCCTGTGTAATTAAGGTGGAAGGCAAACCTTTTGCAATCGAAGAATATTATCTTGATGATTTGAAACACATTGTGAAGTTCAAGGTATTGTAAATATAAATTTATTTCTTTGGACATAGTAAGGAAGAAATTTAATGGTCAGTTGAAATCTGTGTAATAAAATTACGAATAACTAGTTTTAAATTAAGGTTCTAGGTTAAGAATTAATATATGATCTTAGAATAGGAGTCTCCTTACCAGCAGCCTGGGTTTTCTTTCATTTAAAATGGAATGGCTGGGAATTTTAAGTAGCGTGTGGCATTTTGTACCATAGTTTGCATCCAAGATGAACAATGTGAAAGTCTGTGCAGAAAGTAACATACGAGGATTTTTTGGTCTCTTTGAATACAGGTGACAAACTCGGGCACTATTTCCTGGGTTTGTTCATGTTGATGTTATGTATCAAAGGCAGGAAGAGCTAGGAAACAGTCATCAGAAAAGAAGCATTTATGGTTAGAATTCTGATGTTATCAAGTGGCTTCTCTTGTCAGCTGAGGCTCGCATGCTTCCTATTTTTTCCTTTTTTTTTTTTTTAATAGTCCAAGAGCTATTATGCAGTAATTTTGAACATATTTTTTGCAGCCATTTATGCTACCATAGCAAATATGTAATTCTGAATAATGAAAATATGTTTGAATGATAGACATTCACAAAATCCCTGATAGCCATTTCAGAGCTGTATGGCTGCATTGGAGAATTGCTGTTCTAATGCCTAAGGAGGGTAGTAATGGCTGAAAATTCATTTGCTGTGTCCATCTTTAGCTTATAAACTGCATAGTGTATTTGTTTGTAGAGCTCCTGAAGTACTATTGTATAGCATGTATCTGTATAGACAGCAGATAATGAAAGAGTGAATGTAAGTTTAAATTAATTTGATATCTGTAGTTTTATAATAGGAGCTTGTTTTACAGCTGGAAAACAGCTCTGTAGGTATTTAGTGCCTGAACTCTTTCGGTATTATGGTCCAAGACAAAATAAACAGGTTAAAGCAAAGTAGAACAAATGCAGTCAGGCTTTAATAGTGACAACCACTCTAAAAATAACTGGAGCATGGGAGTAATTATTAGTCAATTTTGGTAATTCAGAACACTATTATAATGTTGATATAGTGAAGAAGGCAGGGAATGCACTTAAAAAGTAGCAGTATGTGAACATACTGTTGTTACTTAGCTTGCATCCCTGAATGCTGCAGAAACTGAATTAGATAAACTGATTTTCTTATGTGAAACCCAGAAGAAAATAATTGCTTATGTTGTACACAGCACAGGAATTGTTTATGCTTCAACACAGGCAAGCTGAAGTAAATGGCTGTCAACCACTGAAGTTTTAATGCAGCCAACAAAAGCAGCTAGATGTGTATAGCAGTTGGCTAGTCAGTTTTTTTATATGGCAGCTCAGGCAGATAATATGGAGGAGATTATGTAATACATGATTTTTGTAAAATATTTTTGATGATGGATGGCAACAAAAAGATAACTAAGAAATTGAGTAAGAAGTCTATTTCAGTCAAGTTGCATTTGTCACAGCTGCACGTTGAGCTGAATGTCATCTTCCGCACTTCTTACCTCTGAGGTCAGGAACAAAAGGAACTGCTTTCAGTGCTTATGCCTTACATTTATTTTTTTTCCTCTATGTATATGAACTTTTAGGTGGATTTTTTTTGTTGGTTTGGGTTTTTTTATGTTTTTATGTTTATGTTGTGTTGTCCTAGCTATAGCCATTCTTTTGTTCAGTAGGAGATGATTGTCCAAGCTATTTGTACCTTAGGGCAACAATAGAAGCACATAAGTGCTCTTGATTTTCTTTTTATTTCTTTCTTTTTTCCTTAATACATATAAAAAAAAAAAGAAACACAAATAAGAAAGCTCTGTGATGTTTGATCTCACATTTTGTTTCTTATGATGTTATGTGTGGAGATTTTATCCAAATAGTAATTTCTATACTACACTTAAAAATGTGGAAGGTCTAAAAATATTTATGTAACATCCTAATAATAATAAAAGCAAAGCCTGAGTGTTAAGGTACTTAATGAGTTAACACTGCCATATGGAAGCAGGGGCACATTTTTCATCATGTTAAAACCAGCTGGATAACTGCCTGAGGTAGAGGATTCAGGCTTAAGTTTTTAATTAACCTAGAAAAGCTTGTAAAGTTCACATAATACAGAAATTAAAAGTAACAACAGTCTTTGCTTTTTGCATAAACGCAATTTTCCCAAATTTCCTTTTTGTTTTTAAAATCAATAATTAAAAGATTAGATAAATAATAACTCATTCCTGAATCATCTTGATGTAACTGTCTGGTTTGCTCTGAGGTATGAACCTTTGTCCCTTCTCACAAGAATCATAAAATAATTGGTTGTTACTGTATAAGTGTAGAATTATTTTGTGAATCCTGCAGAGCTGTAATTTGTCACTCATATCTGTAAGTGATAATGTTTTAAAAATATGCCTGAAAATATAAATTTTCTTTGAGCAGTTCTGACTTGGTTAATTCAGTGAATTTTGAGATAAATAGACCTGCCAGTCACTATTTTTATTTCTGTATGCCTTTTTGCAGTAAACACTTTGCTGTGGCTAGAAAGACATCTAGTTGAATCAAAGTTTTCCAATTCAATTACTTCATTTGTATGAAAGAATAAAAGAGGGAAGGAAGGATGAAACACTCTTAAGTGTAGCACTGGCTTAACACTTTCCTAGGTCATTTATAGGTGCTACTGTTTCATTTGTGAGTACATGATTATAAACAGTAGTTTCTTTCACTTTTGGTGTAATGGCCTTCATAAGCGCATTGTTCTGGATATTTAATTGGATCATTTTTTCATGTCAGCCCCCTCTAAATGCCAGGGAATCAGTGAAACCCAGGTTTTGATGAAAAAATGCATGGAGGCTCTATTTATGGGCAAATTTAAAGCTAGTTGTGTAAATGTTTACTGATTGCTGTTGTACAGTATTGGAGATATTGACTGAAAATTAATCATATAGTTAATTCTATAAACAGATTTTAAAAATGCACGTGATCAGGAGGTCTAGATGCTCGATTTTGACAGTAAATCTGTGAAATCCCATGTCTCTACTTCTTATGTAAGGCAAGGAGTCCCATTTTTTGGCTTGCAGATATAAGATCTCCTTCATATCCCTGGTAACAAAGTCAGAGTCCAGATGAAAGGTAGTCAGCTGCTGTCAAAAGCCATTCTGATTTTGTTGTATCGCTTCAGTCAGCTCTGACTGGGCTTTTGTATTTCCTGTTCATCACATTGTTACCTTTTATTAGGACTGATGTGGAAGCTTTGTCGTGTTAAAGAATGCTAAGGTAGAATTGGTGACAAAACTGAATAGACATATTTGACAGTTATGTAAGCAGGGATAATTTAAGAACAAATAGGTCACTTTCAAGCATGTATATAAGGATACCTGCCTAGTTGATTTGGGGGGTCAGAAGTGGAGAAATTATTGTTATTATTGGTGGCTTTTTTTGATCCTCCATCCTTTATTAGAAGAAAGTAGGATAGTTTTCTCTGGGTTTTCAGAGTGGAGTCTTTCTGCAGACATCATGATGTAGGGTTGCAGGTTGACTGTTAAGGGTTGGAAAGCTGAGCAGTGAGGTTACAGTAATACATCTCTCTAGCTTTCATTTAGCTTTGTTAGATAACTGTTTGCTAATCTCCTTTTTTTTAAGTGTTACTCATGGCTGTTCAGCTTGCATTTTGCGTTTCTTTCCAGGAGTGGATTTTCCACCTACAATTTGTAGCCTTGTTGAAACTTACTGGTTGCAGCTGCATCTTACCTTCTGTTGGTATTAATCTGCGTGTATTTACTAATTACTACAGAGTATGGTATTTTTGTTATTAGCATATGCTTAAAGCACAAATTTTCAGTTTTCACTGTTACTTCAATTACAGTACCATTTCTTAAAAGTATAAATGAAAAATCCAAACCTAAATAAAGCTGTATTTGAATAATAAAATACTATTGTATTTTATTTGTGATGGATAAACTTGGAGACACACTTGGTTGAGCATAAATGAAAAAATGGAAGCTTATGAGCTAGTGATTAAACTACATCATTTCTTAAAGGATGCACAAGTGATCGCTCCAGCCTGTTAGGTTTCTTGGGAAAATCTGGATGACTTAGACTGTTACTGGATGATGTAAACTGTTACGTTTCACCATACAAGTAAATGAAATACTTCATTTGAGGGTAGAGGGAGGAAAAAGCAAAGAGCCTCAAAGGTATAATAGGAGGGAAAGAAGTGGAGTTTGACTATAGGATTTTTAATTATGGATGGCAGATTACACTGTAATACAAGTCTGTAAAAGTTAGAGACAGTGGTTAGTCCAATAAGGAGTTTCCACTAGAATGAGGGGAAACCCTGAGAGAGAAAGATAAGCAATGATCAGAAGCCATTTTCCCTGCAGAGGAGGAATGTGTAGTATTACAGACTGTTCCCAGAGCATAACCCAGATCTTACCAAACCCTAGTTCAGTAAGCATGTTTTTTTGGGTTTTTGTTTGGATTTTTTTGTCTTTGCTCTGGAGACTTGGTGGTTTGTATTCTTAAATATTAAAGCCCTGAGTTTATGACAGGAGTCAACAGAGTTGACAAGAGTCGTCATGTTTATATTGTGTACAGCAGAACCATAGCTCTTTTGACAGCGTGTGACCTAAAACAAAAAATCTATTAAATGCAAGAGGTACATGATTTATTTGACAGTCAGGTAGAGACCCACATTATAGCACCTGTGAGAATTGTACATGCCTCATACAAATTCCTCTCTTTATCATCCATGTGTTCTGATTAGTCTCATGTGCCTAACACTTTGTACAAAGAGTATATCTGGCAGACTTTAGGGAATAGAGTGTGGGCTAGTGATTGTCTTAAGTATGTAAATATCAGAAGTATTTCCTTAGCCTTAAAAGGTAGCATGCTTGAAGGGTCTGTCTAGAAGGTAGTGAATGCTTCAAATTGTTACTTCTTTGTACATCTTCTGTGCTGGATAAGTTTTAATGGAAAAGCACTTGACAAATCAACACGTATACATGATCTACAGTCTTGTAGTCTGTTACTCTGTGTTAACCTCAATACTCTCTTCTCCACACAGCTTCCTACTCAAATAATTGAGGAACCAGTGATAGTAAGGGAAATGTATGAAATAGCAATGTCTTTGATCCAGTCATTTGATGAGTTAGAGATGGAGAAGAACAGGTAAGACACAGTTTGAGTTCTGGAATCACTGGTTCTTTGGGGCAGCAAGATGCTAATTAAGGAACAGAAGCAGCCCATGTATCATAGTTACTAGTGGCAGCTTCATTTTCTGTGCATCTCTGCTTTTATGTTACATATCTGTGTGATTTCACTGAGGGTAGTTATAAGACTACTTGTAGGTCTTACGGAATAACCTGTGTCTTGAAATACACTTCATGCCCTGGAGTGTAAGTGACCATTCAAGCCAGCCATGCCATATGGAAACTAGATTCTTTGCTGTAGACCAGAGCTGAATAATATTCATGTGAAGAATAACACCAGAACTATTTTGCATTGTAAACTAAAATATACATTAAGCCATGACAAAAGAATGCAAACTAGCATTAATTTTTTCACTGCCTGCTTAACTAATGCCTTACTCTCTTTTGAAATAAGTAAATATTACTTTGTTACTTTGTGTTTTGTAAATTTTACATCAGGAATGACTGCCACAAAAAATACAAGTTCTATATTATGTTGAGGTGATTTTAGCTTCTTGATGCCTAACAGATTAATTGAATATGTCTCCCTCTCAAGTTTGTCATGACCTGTAGTTACTGATAATAGTTAGTTGTTTTACATGCCAGGCTTTTGTTAAATGTGTCTAGTGGTATTTTTGTGTCTAACGCATTACGTATTCTTGAAAAATTACTGAATAAGTTTGTCTAGAATTCTACAGCAGAATGCTACATTTACATTTTAAAACTTTTGGTAACCTAATTTTAATTCATTTCATTGCTAAGTAAGAGTGTTTCTGCTTTTACATAATTTTGAAGACTAAACCTAATGATCTAGTTCCAGTATTTATATGCGGGATATTCCAGAATGGATAGCTGCAAATAGTGTCCTGAATTCCATTTCTTCAGGAAGTTTAAATAATACTAGTTACAAAAAGTGCACAGTTCTGCTTGTTCTTTCAGAGTAAAATAACTTGGGGTGATAAAATAGACTGAGGTTGTGAAACTAACGAACCTGCATATTCTTGTTAGGGAGGAAAAAAACTTGAGTGTTACATCAGAACGTGGAAGTGTGCTAGTATTTTTACCAGGTGAGTATATGCCTTAACTTTATTTTCCATTTGTCACCTAACAAGTTTTCTTCTGGAGATTCATTAAACACATGTTTAACTGGGGTTTATTGGTCTATTTGAGTATTTTTCTTGCAAACTTCTTTAAATATGGCAATAATTGGAAATGCTTTGAGTCAGAAGTAAGACTCTGCATGTTTTAAAATGAAGTTAAAGTAATAAATTTTCCAGTTAATCCACAGAAATTCAGTTTCTGGGGTTTTTTTAGATTAGCTATTAAATACTGCATGAAGTTCTTAGGATTCCTTTAGAGACCTTTTCTTAATCTGTATATAGTGTAGTCTTTATTTAGATTCTTGTAAAAATTAAAATTCACTTTTTCCTATCCATGTACATGGGTTGCCTGTTGTAGTAGGAATACTCAGAAGCATGCATGATGATATAGCAATTAATGTAATGATCAGAGAGATGGTTATATATGGTTTTAGTTTTCTTAAACAGTAAACCTAAAATTACCTTACGCTGCCTCTAAAATCTGGCTAAGAGATTCAATGAGAATGACAGCGAAAACAAAAGCATGCAATAATGTTTGTGTAACTACGCTACAGACTTGGTTTCCCGAGCATCACAAAGCTGTTACTTGGTGGTTTCAGGTATACTTTTACTTCATGAAAATTTGCTACTTGAAAACTCTGAAAATACTTGGTTGCGTACTACTGGAGAGTGATCTTTATGAGTCAGGAGCAGCTGTTCCTTGGGCATAATGGGTTCTATCCCTACCTGGACTTCCTAACTTTATGTAAAGTCTTTATGAATGTTATTTTCCTGCTGTGTTGACCTTAGCAGTAAACATGTTAGCACTAGGGCTGGAAACACAGAGCGCAGCACAAAAATACACTGCACTTGCAGACTACCTTTCGATGGCATGCTCCCTGCCAGCTACAGGGCATTAGAGCTGCCTCTCTTGGAGTTACCTTCTCTATAAAATCAATGGGTAGAAGGAATTACTTCATCATGTCAATGTAGGACCCATTCCAGTTTGCCATTAATCAAGTAGGGAGACCATGTCTGGTGCCTCTGGCCTCTCATATTAGTTTGTCTGGTATGCTTTCAGACTCCCTAAGGCCCTCTGAGTCTTCATTTCAGGCTGAAATTATCACTTTCAATTCCCAAAACTTTTATCTTTCCTTTGAGATCTTTTATTTTTTTTTATTCTGCTGCTGACCCTGATGGTTTACAACTGCAGCTGCTAAAGTGAAACTCTATGCTTAAATACATTTTGTCAATTCATGTAAACATGTGTAGATAGTGTTTTCTGAATTAATTGGTTCTTGGGTTTGGTTTTTATTGTTGTTTAGTGTTTGACCTTGGCCTGTTTTGTAACTGGATACTCAAGACTGATCTTGAACATGGGATTAGCAAATGCCTCTTCAAATTCTCTTCACAAATAGTCTTTATGCAGAACTGGAGAAAAGGAGAGGAAAGCCCTCAGTTTACAAGAGGGCAGCTGAGACAGATTTGGGTAAAAATAACATCCTTATTAAGGCACTGATTTGGAATGCTTAGATTTTTTTGAGTACTTAAAATTATGTAGCATTTTGTACATTCAGAATAATACTTCCATTGACATTTTGAGCTGAGTAGGCAACAGCAGCCAGAAACAGTAGTGCCATATTGAGGAGTACTGTTAAGTGATTTTTTCTTTCTTTTTCACGGTCTTTGTGGAACTCAGTGGTAAGGCAGAATCCACTTCCATAGAGCATGCAGCTGTCTTGAGTAGGATGCTGTGTTTTCTTTCCTGTTGTAATTGCTTGTCTTGTTCAGTGTTGAATTAATTATTTTTTATGTTACTGAGTCTGATTCCTTACAGATAAATACCCTTTAGTACTCAGCACTCCTTTGATTGCAGAGCTAGTATGTCCCTAGATAGGAGGTGATAAAAGTGCCACCTTAAACTGTGCAGTGACTTTTGTTAACATAATGTGTGCATATGTTCCCAGTGGGCTGCATTAATTTTGCACAACCAGTCTTGATTCTGGCAGCTCTTGTATTGAATGCTAGACTTGGCAACCTTAATGCTTCTGGAGTGTTTACATTGATGTCTAGTTCTTTAGACCTTTTAAAGAACAAACTGGAAAAAGAGATCAGACCGGTGACTGAAACATCACCGAGCTACACCTTCAAGTATGTAACACACTTCTACCAGACTAGCTGATGGGTTAAATGAAAGCAAGAGTAGGTTGTAATCCTTCAGGAGCATGCAGAAGGTGGGGATAGCCTGATTTCTCTGTGATTCACATCCACTTGCTGATGGTAGAAACTACATAGGGTAAAGCTTCAAGGGGTTCTATTACTGTTCTAAGCTTTTATCTCTTTTACTGGTGTCAGCTTCTTTGCTGTTTTGTATTTTCTTTTGTGCTTCTCCATGTTCGACTCTCCTTGTTGTGGTATGTTTACCAAAGAGATTTTTAGTTACTGTTTCATTCCAAGATCTGTCTCTCCTGGTGGCAGCCTTTTGTTCTGGAGGTGTCATGATCAACTCTTGTCCCTTCCAGAACTGAGCATCAGATGCTGCCTGCTGTGTCTAGTCAGAAATTACTAGACTGATTAATGATTACTATTAATATGCCTTATGTCAAACTTGATTGTAACAGTCATGGATTAAGCTTCTTTTAATTGTTTTTAAACATAAATTGGATTTGGGCCTTAATGTCTTACTCGGATACGTAACCAGGCAGTATGGCAAGGAGAAAACATTAGACAGTCAAGCAGTACCTAGTGTTATCAAGTAGGTGTTGCAGGCTCTGTCCAAACAGACAGTATCATGGTGTTCTTGTGAGTTCTCTATCTTTAATTATGTGCTCTAGTTCATAAACTCTTTTTTCCTCCCCTATATTACAATAATCTTAAAAGGTGGTGCTGTTTTTTTTATTTCCCAGTGTGCATTTTTTTTTCACCACAATGCTGAAGGTGTTCTTGCTTAGAGCTTTAATAGTTTCATTATTGTGCTAGTCAGTAGTTTGTGATTTGGCTAGTTATTTGCATTCTCAAGTACTCTTATTTCATTTGAGCAGTGATGTAAATTAGGTTTCCTCGATGTCTTTCAGGTTCTAATGACATTGCTTTCCCCTGTAGTAGCCTCACACAAAGGACATTTGAAACTTTTAAATTCCTGCTGATTGAGCCACCACCACAATTATTTATTCCCCCACCCCCCATCTTACCTTTTCTACCCCAACCCTGATTTCTTTTATGAGTCTTACCTATAGCTACTTCCCCTCATTTTCCCGTTTCAGTCTTTCTGACTCCAGTAGTTGACTAAATCTCCATGTTCTCCTGCAATTTCTTTTTCCAGCCAATCTTGTATAATAACCACATTCATTTGTTGAATCCATTTCTCCTTTTCTTGCTCCAGTTTCTTGCTTTCTGGCCTCTTCCTTGCTTACCTTAATTCAGTCATGATTTCCAGCCCATTGCATACGCTTCTCTCTTTTCATTTCTGGTTTTTCTTCTGTCGTATCTTTGCTGAAAATTTCTTCCTTCATGTGCATTTGTCTTCCCTCCTTCTCACTTCTGAAGTCAAGTAACAGTCATCTAAAGAGTCCAAGAATTTTCATATCCAGGTGCTCAGACTGCATTTAGCCTCACTGAAAATTGCAGCAATCCTGTACTTCAGTTACAGAATAATTTCATTTTTTAATATCCAACTGGGGAACCCCAGTTTAGACAGATGTTTTGAAAATGAGGGTTTTGGAATGAAGTCTCAGTAAGAAGTAAACTAGGCTTCTTGGAAAGGTTGGTGCCTGTGGAGGTATTCAGGAAGATGGCAAAAATACCTTAGGTGTGAAATCCGTGCCCCAGAGAATAAGCACTGGCACTGCCAAAGCTGACTAAGGCAGAAATAGCTTTTTGCTGGTTTTCTTTACTTTTCCTTCCTGGCCCCCCCCGGCCGTTGAAGCAGCTTCCTTTGGCTGAAGTACCTGAATTTATCCTAAAGCAGACATTCAACATGTAGTGAGCCTTGTCAGTTGCAAGGAACTGAAGCAAGGGCTAATAATGAGACACTGGCAGATGGCCTTCATAGCTGATACCGCTGCTTGATTTTGAGTGTAAAATTAATGCAAAATGACTCTTGAAAAATTAACTCACAGTGTTTCAGTGGCTCATTACTACCTTTACTGTTTAACTCGTTTGCTGCTTTATTATATGGTGAAAAGGAGGTTGTAATGAAAGTCAATTAAGTACTTAAGTTGATATGAAGATTGGGTTTTAGAACTGTTAGTGATCACTAAAAGGAAAACAAACTCATGATTACTTTTTCCCTAGGTTTGTGTGAAATAAGATACATGCAGTCATGTCTCTCAAGTAAGTTCAACAAAAGGTAAGTTAGACCACACTTGTTTCAGTTTATTTGAACTGGAACGTGAATCCTTCAGTTGTGTGAGTTCCAAGTATATAATATGATTTAGCACAGAGGTGTAATTACTATAATCTTGCATCAGTTAATATTTCACTAATGTATTTTCTTTAGGTGGCAAGTGTACCCACTTCACTCAGGTGGGACATTAGAGGAACAAAATAGTGCACTTTTGGCTACAGTTCCTGGCTACAGAAAAGTAAATATTGTTGAATCATTACTTTTTGTGTGAAATCTTTTGCTAGAGTAATAGCAAGTAATAATGTCTATAAGCTAACACTAGCTGTGCCAACTCAAACTGCCATGTGAGGTCAAAGCAGTTTTGTTTTTTCAAGATGTAAACTAACTGCTTTTCTTACCAAGCTGTTACTTTAACTGGCACTTAGACCTTAAGAGAAGTGCGAGAATAACAGCAAACTATCCTTAAATTATTGTGTGAAACTGGTTTTACCCTTAAGCAAGTTTGTGCTTATTGATTCTTGCACCTCAATGGTAGCAGTATGCTGCTAGTGGTACTGCATAGCAAAGTTGTCTCCCGGTAAGGGGGTCTCCTACCTGCTTTTTACTCTGCATTATGGCTAGTGTCTTGGCTTTCTTTATCACTGATGCTTTGTTATGCAAAAGCATAAGGAAATACTTCTGTTCTGCTTCTTTATGTATGCTATATTACTTTATTATGCTTCTCTGATCTTAGGACAAGAAAATACAAAAATACACATTTTCTTGTTTTGTATTACCTTTTTTTTAAATGTGCAGAGCAGAAATACTGTATTGCCATTACGTTTGTATTTCTTCATAGCAAGTTAGATTTTTCATATAGAAATATTAATGTAGTTTTTTCTTTATGCATTCATTGCTCATTGTTTGCTTCAAAATTCAGATTATTCTGTGTACAAACATAGCTGAGAGCTCTGTAACAGTTCCTGATGTTAAGTATGGTAAGTCATATAAATCTTGTAATTGTGTATGTGCTGTAGTGTTTTCCTTACTTGCAGTAGCCTAAATCTCCACAACAGTTTACCGTTTTACAAACCATTGCTGTTGGACTTCTACTTTGACGGTTGTTGAATTCTTTCTTTCACAACAGAGAACAGGTTTGAATGTGAATATATGATCAAATAGAGCTACCAAGTGGGGTGCTGGTTTCAGTATTTTTTGGAGGAGAGAAAAAAAAATATTGTAAATGCAGTAACAAGCAGAATCAAACCCTATGTCACAAGTACCTTAAGTTTTTTCTTCACATTCTGGCTATCTTTTGAAATAATTGCATCAGATGTTCTGATATAGAACAGATTGCCTTTTTATGTTGTCATCTGCAGTAACTGTTTATGTTAAAGTCTATTTGCAGTTCTGTCAGTATTCGGTGTTCTAGGTCCGGTTCTTTATAAATGTAGTGCTCCCTTTACTGGTTTTCAAATAACTGAAAATTTCCTTTTCTGATAACACAAAATCAGCCAGTATTTTTTTCCACTGCCATGAGGATAAATTGTTTCATAATAATAATAGATTTTTTTCTTTATTGCAGTGATAGATTTCTGCTTAACTAGAACTTTGGTTTGTGATGAGGAAACTAATTACCAGAGTTTGAGACTTTGCTGGGCATCTAAAACAAACTGTAATCAAAGAAAAGGTAAGGGGGAAATAGGTAATGGAAAGGAATTTTAAAAGCTAACCTTCATGGAGAATATTATGTTGCTTTTCATTTTATTAACAGTAAAAGCGTGGATTATTTTTGTCTTGAGTAATTTACACAAACATAATTCCTTACCATGTCAGGTAAGATAATGTGATCAAACAATTGTGCCTGAATGTTTTATTTTGTTCAAGTATTTTTTCCATAGGATTTTTTTGTGTTTTATTAAAAAATACTAAAATTCATGGACCTGAGATTTTATGAGGATTCTCTGTTATGTAATAGTATTTCTATCGTGGTCAGTTTTCTTAAAAGGGGGAGATAAGTACTGCTAGGTATTTACTAACTACTTGAGTTTCAGCAGTAAAAGAAACTTCATGTCTTTATCACTCTTAAATTGGTTGAAATAACCACAGCAGTGTGCAGACCAGTGGTGGTGTAAGGTTAAATAAGATTTCATATTGTCTCGTCTAGTAAGACAGTACTCTTAAATATTAAAATCCTTTCAGTTTAAAGGAGTACTAAATAAATTAATAACGGTGATATCTTTAAGTTTAAAAATGTCTGTGTTTTTAAATGAGGTGCCACCAAAGCTGCTCTGTCACTTTCCCTCCTCAACTGGGCAGGGGAAAGTGTAACAAAAAGCTCATGGGTTGAGATAAGGACAGGCAGATTACACAGCAATTACCATCATGGGCAAAATAGACTTGGAGAAATTAATTTCACTTATTACTGAACAAATCAAAGTAGGGTAATGAGAAATAAAAACAAATCTTAAAACCCCTTCCCCCCCCCACTCGTCCCTTCTTCCCAGGCTCAGTTTCACTCCTGATCTCTCTGCCTCTTTCACCTCAGAAGCACAGGGGAACTGGGAATGGGGATTTCAGTCAGTTCATCATGTTTCTCTGCTGCTCCTTCGCCCTCAGGGGGAGGACTTCTCACCCACACACACTTACCCTGCTCTGTCATGAGGTCCCTGTCACAGGAGAATGTTCTCCATGAACATCTTCAGTGTGGACCCTTCCCACAGGCTGCAGTTCTTCATGAACTGCTCCAGAGTGGGGTCCTTCCCGTTGGGTACAATCCTTGAGGAACAGATTGCTCCAGTATGGGTCCTCTGTGGGGTCACCAGTCCTGAAGCAAACCTGCTGTAGCATGGGCTCCTCTCTCTCCAGTGCCACAGGCCCTGCAGGAGCGTGCTCCAGCACGGGCTTCCATGAGGTCACAGCTTCCTTTGGGCATCCGTCTGCTCTGGTGTGAGGGTCTTCCACAGACTGCAGGTGGATATCTGCTCCACCATGGACCTCCGTGGGCTGCAGGGGGACAGCCTGCCCCACCATGCTCTGCACCGTGGCCTGCACGGGAGGCTCTCTTCTGGTGCCTGTAGCATCTCCTCCCTTCCTTCCTCACTGGCCTTGATATCTGCAGAATTGTTTCTCTGCCATATCACTCTCTTCAACAGCACAACAGTGTTTTTTCCCCTTAACTATGTTGCTATCCCACAGGTGCTACCACCATTACTAATGGGCTTGGCTTGGCCAGCAGCAGGTCCATCTTGGAGCGCTGGTGTTGGCTTTGGTTTGAGGACATGCTAAAGCTTGCATTGGCATATTTATCTATATTAAATTTAGATTTAAGAACTTGCCTATTCATGGTTTTGAGGAAGTATATTTTAGTGCAGGATTTGTCATGCCTTTTCAATTGAGAAAGACAGATACTGTTTTGAGGGCAGTTATGTGGAAGAGGTATTTGAGTGAAGTACTTTAACTCTTTAATTAGTTACTGCTGCTGTGAAAACAAAATTACTTTATCTGATTGTTATGTGGGAAAAGGTAAAGAGATGCCTCCACTGGGGCTGTCTGCTGCAAGAGAGCAAAATGCTGGTCAGCTTGCAGTGTCAGCTGTTGCGCGCTGCTCAGCTGCCCAGAAGGCTTGTAGGGGATGGGTTTTAAACAGCCTGAACCTCAGGCAGTTTAAATGGGTGATTTGTTCTTTTATGTGAAGGTCGTGCTGGACGTGTTTCCAAAGGGTATTGTTATAGGCTTATATGCAAGAACTTCTGGACAGACTCCATTCCAGAGCAGTCAGTACCTGAGATACTGGTAAGACTTTTGGGAAACATCAAGATATTTTTCAGCGGCTTGGGGGGGGGGGGGTGTGTTTGGTTGGTTTTGTTTTGTTGGTTGTTTTTTTTAAAGTTGATAATTGACAAAGACCATTCCACATAGCTTCCTTTGTAGAAGGAGATACCTTACAGGAGTAAAATGACTGTGGATTAGAATAAGTAATCTGTTCAAAAGTAAAATATCCTTAGTAACACAAAATTTAAATTTTTTTTATTCTTTTTATTTATTTTTTTTACTAAATTGTGAACTTATTTTTCTTAGAAGACACTTCGTCACGCTTTCCGGGGGGGAAGTAACATTAACATTGTTTGTCCTTCAGCGTTGTCCATTGGGAACTACAGTCTTAAAAATAAAAAAGCTTGATATGGGGGGACCAAAAGCCTTGCTGGCAACAGCTCTGTCTCCGCCCAGTGTAGATGACATTGAACGTACCATACTTCAGCTGAAAGAGGTAGGCGTTCTTTTAATGTTGTTAAAATTGAGGTAATAAAAGTGTACTGTAGAAGAGTTTTTTCTTGGTATGTGAGGTAGTAGTAGCCTTAATTGTAACCTGAAGTAAGAGCTGTGTCTAAAGAATCTTTTCTCACATTTTACTTCGTTTACTGTACTTTTCAGCATTATTTCTGCAGTTAGTTCATTGAAACAGGATTCACCGAACTTTCTCTTTTCTGAAGTGCATGAGAAGTTATATTTGCATCATTTGTAGCTTGCTTTTATATCCAGTATGTGTAGTAGAAACTTGGTTTTAAAAATGTTAGGCTTTTAAAATTAAGGTCTTCAACTTAATTAGAGTTTTGATATTGATTGATGTTGCTTGCTTCTTGTCTTTTCTTACAAGCTGGTCTTAGATTTGCTTTATTAGCTTTTACAAGTGAATAAATTTTAATTTCTCTAGCTGGGAGCGCTTACGAATTGTGTGCAAACAGAAGATGACCCACATGATGGTGAGCTGACTTTCTTAGGAAGGGTATTGGCACAATTGCCAGTGGATCTGCATCTTGGAAAACTGATAGTCCTTGGGCATGCCTTTGGGTGCTTAGAAGAATGCATTATTATAGGTAAATGAAAGAAGAACATGTGAGAACATTTCTCTAAAAACAAGTGATTTGCAGATTTTCATTTTGATTTGGTTTTGTTGTAGCTGCAGCACTGTCTTTGCGGAACTTTTTTACATCACCTTTACAACAGCAAGTTGATGGATACAGGTATTACCTTAGATGCTTTACAATTTCCAGCCTACATCTGGGGGCAGAAGCTGAAGTTGAACACTAAATACAGTTTTTTATGTCATGAGTCTAATTTTCTGTCAAAAGTGCCAGCAGTGTAGAAAGAAGCTTTCCCAGGCAGCTGAGATATTGAAATCTGTTTGTATGTGAACTAATTATTATCATAGAGGTAACTTATTCTTTTCTGAGTACAAGTTATGATTTTTGAGTTTTGTCTTTCTGATGTATGTGGCGGGCGGTGTCTATTAAAATGGAGAGAAGGGTTAAATAACAAGTATTTTCTTTTTTCTTTTTCTCTTTTTTTCTTCTGAATTTTTAAATTGTCCTGCCTACAGAATTTACTTTCAAAAAGGAGATGTGAATAAGGACAAATAATTACAGTAAATGTATTGACCCTGTTTTTGAAGTCCTAGAAGTTGTTACCAGTTTTAGCATCCTGAGCTATGTGTCAAATACATTCAGTATTTGAAAAAAAACATTGTTGGACGAGGCCTTGGGTGATACGGTTTAGTGTGAGATGTCCCTGCCCATGGCAGGGGAATTGGAACTAGGTGATCTTAAGGTCCTTTCCAACCCTAACTATTCTATGATTCTGTGATTGTTGATGATTCTTTTTGTTTGTATTGCCAGGAACAAACTGTTTTTTGCTGGGAATAGTAAGAGTGACTGCATTGCAATTGTGAATGCTTTTAAGGTAAGTCTTTTTTCTTAAACTTCACATTAATCCTAGCTACTTAGTGATACTTTTTGAAGGATGTATCATACTATATAACAGTTGATTTATCACTTATTATAAGAACTAAATATAAAATGCTGGAGACATGATGATATTGGTAGCTCCCTTTTAACCAAGGACAGTTTGGACTAGTAAATTCTAGTACAGAATGCGTTTACTGTCTTTTCTCCAGGCTTCATGGCTTTGACTTTGTAGTATTTTATTCTGTTGAAAGGGGATTTTCCTGTACACTTGGCTGCTTCATAGGCTGATAGCATGGACAGAGGTCAATCTCTGCATGTACCAGCAGAGCTGGTAGAGCAAGAGAAAGCCTTCTGACAGAGGAGCTTACTGTTCAGCATCCAGTGCTTTACATTATGCATGGTCTGATGTTTCTGTAATCTTTTGGACACTCCAAAATCTTCAGCTGCAGGTTTAATTTACTCCGTTTTGTTTATGTTGGACTTTTCTAACTTTGAAAGCTAACTTGTTTTTCTGTACTCTGGTGCTATAATTTTATGAAGCACGGACATGGGCACCTATGCCACATATACGTGCTGATTCTGAGGCTCCAGCATAATCTTTTCTGAATTCACCTTATCCTGTTGTATGCTGTATTTCCTTGTGTCCTGTTAATCTGAAGGTGGTATTTCTGTAAAGCAGTATGGTGTCTTAAAGAATAAGCACAAATATTCAAACAGAAGTTTCCTGTGCAGTGTCTGTGTGAGTGATGTGAAAGCTTTGGTTTTAATGGCTGGATATCACAAAAGAACAGAGAAATAACATGTGTTCAAACTTTCCAGTTCAGATTAGATTTCTTCCCGAGTAAGCAGAAGTTCTGTGAATCATTAGCACGTATTTTTTGAGCCCTTGCTTGCAAAAGGTTTTAGTGAATATAAAAAAGTTCAAAAGCTTTAGCAGTATAAAGAGGAGAATCTGGGGAAGTAAAGACTAATCAGCCTGATTTAAGAGATAGGATTTTAAATAGAGTTTTTAAAAGAAAAAATAATGTCAAATAAGTGGTATTTATTTTTCTGACACAAGGCTTGGGTATGGAAGTGATGGATGTCAAAAGCATTATTTAAAATCAGGACATCAGATAGCTTCAGTAAAGGTAGGCAAATGAAGTCTGGCTGCTCAACTACGCTGATGGTGTCCACAGTAAGCTGGAGGTGGCTTGCTATTAAACTAGGAGAAATGGATTCTGCAGGCATCTCTCATAGATTTGCTGCCTAATAATGAAATTATTTTCAGTGATATTCTAAGCACATTAATTTTTCTTCCAGACCTGTTTTCTGGAAGGCATTCACATCAGAACTGTGTCTAAATCAGACAGTTCACTTTTCTCCCAAAACAAGGAGAAAATAAAAGGTTCTGGAAGTAGCCTGCCTTATTACAGTATCAAATCAAAGTATCCAGTTTGTTCTGCTTATGCGTATTTGGATGGGCTTTAATGCTTAGTCCATCTCCTCTCAGAAAACCAGGTGGATAGGCTGTTTCGTGTTGCTGTGTTACTGAGTGACTACTGTACTTCTTCCATATCAAAACAGAGCTTACTCCTGTAACGACTTGGAATGTAACATGCTTGGTCTCCTTTTGGCATGTGCCTTGATCCAGAATCTCTAAGCTATGTCCAGAAACCCAGTGACACAAATGCTGTATTTCTAATTTAATTGCAGGAACCGATGGTAAGTTTGAGGCAGCATATGTAATTATAGTTCATGCAATAGTGCTTAAACTCCTTTTTGGTCTATGGGTGCAGCATTGCATGCCATAACCTGTAAGCTGACTTGAAGGCAGAACAGTTATCTTCCTATAGCAATTCTTATTCTTTAGCATGTTGTGTTACATTTATAATCCTATCACACTTTCAGCCCTGCAGTAATGCATTCTTAGGATTACATTTCGCAGCCACGCTCCTTTGTGCGCTCACATATGAGCAAAGGAAGACCCAGAGTTCTCACCCACCCTCAAAAAATAGAGTAAGATTATTCATAAGAGTGAGAAGTATTTATATCTGCTTAGGAACCAACCAGGCAAGCATTATATTAGACTAAAATAATTAAATAAATAAGGTTGGAAAGGACCTTAGAAGGTCTGTAGTCTAGTCTTTTGCTCAGAGCAGATTCAAGCCATGAGGTCAGTCAAGGTTACTCAGGGTTTTATAGACAAGATCCTCAAAAACCTGATCTAAGCTGGCCGTGCTGTGTGGGGTGTTCCAACAATTTATCTGAAAAAGTCTCCTCCAACCTGAATCGCTGTGATTCAGCTTTCCTTATACTACTATGCATAAATATTTGTAATCTGTGTTATCCTAAGGGCCAACTGGTTTTTAAATCTGTGTTAATCTCTGTTTTTTAAATTGGTGTTCAAAAAATTCTCTTTGGTATAGGTACAGAAAAACCTTCATGATTTTGAATGTCATGTTGATATTTGTAATAATTATTACTAAAGCACTGCAGTTTATGCCTGAATACTACACCATTTCTTTTCCAGGCATGGCAGGCATGCAGTCAAAAAGGGGAGCTGAGACATCCCAAGGTTAGTTAAACTTTACTTCTTTTCTGTTAAAGGTTAGTGACTGCGTTATAATGAGTAGCCATGATGGCCAGAAAATAAGTGATAAAGTTATATTTCCAGAGGAAGTTCTGTTTCTTTGGAATAAGTGTCCATCTTGAAGTAGACTCTGTAGTAGCAGCATAGAGGAGTTGGACTTGTGGATTTATGTGAAAAATTTAGATTGCCCACAGCTGCAATGGTGGTACCCGAAGTATAGTTTATTAGTCAAACATATAATTAACTTTATATTTTCATAGATTTCATAACACTTGATTGATATGGATGAAAGAAAGCTGTGAAGTGAAATGAAATCAAATTCTTCCATTGCTATATATAACTGTTGTTTGTGACTACACAGGAGAATATGGAGGAAAGCTTACTAGCAGTAGAAAAAACAAATTTCTGACAGTTTTTACATTTGCATTTTTCATGTTCTTTTCTAGAAAGAGCTTGAGTGGGGTCAATCAAACTGTATTCATATCAAGAAGGTCCGGGAGGTGAGATGAAATAGATAAGTCATTCTTACCTGCTAAGTCATTGTTACCTGCTAAATATGGATGCAGCATGCGTGGTCACAACTACAGTTGAGTGTAGAAGTCCAGGCTATTCTTAGTATGTTTTTTTACCTCCTAAGATACAAACCCAAAAGTTCTTAGCATGTTTTTTTTACCTCCTAAGATACAAACCCAAAAGTATTTCAATGTAGAATCAGTTTACCATCTTGTCAAAGGTTTTCAGTTCTTTTTCTAACTTTGTTCTATATCATATATGTGTAATATACTCTGTGACTACAAAATTCAGCTTTTAAAGAGATGTCAAGAAAACTGAGTCACAGTTCTGAAATTACTATCTAAAGTAGAGATGCTAAGCAGTATATTAGGTAAAATGCGTATTAGTCACCTAGAAGGGAAAGGGAATTTGATCAGTTTAGACATTTACTAACATTTTATTTTAATTTGTGAATGGTTTTGGTATGTTAATATGTAACTTAGTGTACAAATTTTAGGTGGCACAGTTATTTCACAACTTGAAAGAGCGAGTCAGTGCATTTAACATGCATGTTAATGCTCAACCATCTGCTGTGGATCAGGAATGTTTATACAAACAACGCTTCATTTTGCAGGTAATGCTTTATTGGCTGTTCAGGGGAGAGCCATTATTTACAAAATCTGTAACTGGATTTTTATGTGCTAGTACTGATGAACTTGTGTTACGCTTATGTTTCAAAAGTCTCTGTAGATTTTGCTATTGCAGGTAAGAAAGTACTTCATTTGACAACCTAGGTGGACAGCTAGTATTACTTTCACTGGTTTAGAATTCATGCTGAATTGGAACTCTGGTTGTCCCTCCACTTTTAACAGTTCATCAAAACAAAACCAAGTCATACTGAGATAAATTAAACTGCTTATTTAGGCTAATATTTGTTGAAGTCATAAAAAGACTCTAAAGAAGGATGTTTTGTGTGGGAAATCTAAGAACTATCAGATCTGAAAATTACATTTTCACTTATTTTGAGTGCTCTGTTTGAACCACCACTGGCTTGGTTAGTGGGGGGAGAAGGGGAGGGATTAGATGTCTTTCAGCTGTTGTAACTTTGTCAAATTTTCAATTACATTTCTTGTCTCATTTGGGCTGATGTAATAGTGACTTTATTTTCAGACCTGTTTATCATTTCAGTGACAATTGGTTTAACTGTAGAAGCAGTGAACTTTTCAGAGCTGAATTGTTAAGTATTCTAAGATGTATCATGAAAACTGAACCATTTTCATGTGGCTGATTTTTCATGAATTTATTTAAAATTGAGGCTCTTCTTGAAATCAGGGCTAACAATTACAGTTTTCATTGAGCAAGTTTGCATACAAAAATATTAACATTATGCAAGATTGTTGCAGAACTTGAACTGTTTTCATGAAAAGTATGGTTTTAAGGATTTGCATGAATTAATGTTTAGTCTGCAATTATAGTAATTTCTGGAAAGAGACAGAAAAAAAAAATCATACAAAGATCTGCTGGTATCTCTTTATGCTGTTAGTTATCTCTTTACAAGAAACTGAATGTAATCTGCTGCATTTTCCAAAATATTATCTTGATGTCAGGTTGTGATAGCTGGTGCTTTCTATCCAAACTACTTTACTTTTGGGAAATGTAATGAAGAATGTGCTGTGAGAGACCTTGCTGGCAAAGATCCAAAAACGACTGTAATGGTACGTTAAGAAGGTGAATGACCTAAGTAGTAGAAATGTGAAGTGTTTCGGTGGTGGTTTCAAGTCTTGCTCTGTCTTGGGCAAAAACATAATTATCTACTGTGATCCTCACTTTGTAAGTTGTCTTCTCTCCCATCTCCATTTCTTTCAATATAATAAACATTGTGTGGGTGGGCAATTTTAGAAGAATTCCTACTGAGAACTGCCTCTCTGCATTTGATTGCTAGGCTTGTGCAGGCAAACAAATTTCATAAAATTAATACAAGATTTGAACTAATAAAAGATATATTGGCTGTCATGCCAATATCTGCACACAAACACACTTATTTATGTCTTTAAAATTTTTAACATATCATTTAAGTATAGTGAAACAAAATATCTGGCTATATTCAGTCTTGTGGAATGAGGACAAGATCAGTTTTGCCATAGCAACATTGGTTAAGATTAAAGTGTTAGATATAAGGAGCTATTTACTTTTAATGCACATAACTCTTTAACAAGCAGTTGATAGGAGGCGATATCTTGAAGATGGAAAAAGTAGCTGTTGTGTCTTCATCAGTGGAAATGATCTTGGGCACAAGTGCTGGAAGTTCCTCAAGCTCTCAGTTTGAGAGATTCTTCTTGTAGCCGTACGATTCTCCTCATAGTGTGCACCAAAGATATAAAAGGCAGTTACTCCTCCTATTCTGTTCTCTCTAAATCTTCTTTCCTTGAGATTGTTTGTTTCTGCAATTTGACCTAGACTGTGGTTTTGGCCAGCAACTGATCTTAGTACTCTGACTTAAAGGCACATGAAGTTTTTCCAAAAAGGTATCCATTCTTTCCTGTCTAAGATGGTAACAACGAAAGAGAAGAACAGGCAGTTCTGTAGCCTCTGAAAAATAATTCAAAGTCCAGAATCTTGAACTTGCTAGTTAGGAGTTCTGTGATTCTGTATTAAAGCAAGATTTCCTGTGAGAGATGACTGAGTAAGAAGAAGATAGAGAAATGGATATCTGGCTACAGTCACATATTAATAGCTGTGAAACTACAGCCTTCGTTTGCTTTTAATTGCTCATGCACTTATGTTGGCTCTCTGCCTCCTGAATGAGACAGGTGTTAGAGAAAGCTTTTCTGTTGATTTGTAGCGTTAGTTTCCAAGTTAGTTTAGCTCATGGAATTTGTAAAATGCACAACTGTCTTGTTGCCTTGGTAATACATGTTAAAGTCATAATCCATTATACTTAACTATATACCACCTATAGAATTCAGTATACTTAACACTACACAATCCAATATATTTAACTAAAATGTTACTCTTAGCAGAATGCCTTTGAAAAGGTGTTGCAACTCGACTAACTTCATTGGTATGTAGTTGGTTTAGGGTTAAAATCCAAGAATAGCAGAATCTTTTAATAATTCAGTTTGGAAGAGACCTCATGAAGTTAGCTAGCTGTCTAGTGATATGGTCAAAGCAGAATTAACAGTGAGTTCAGACCATGTTGCTTAGGCCTTCATCCACTTGTGTTTGGAAGAAGCTCTGAGGATGGGGATTCTGCAACTTCCTGTGGGTCCCCACTTACCAGTTCCCTGAATAAACCAAACTGTACTTCCTAGACTTCAGGATGTGGATTCTGTTACTTGCCTCCTCATTCCCAAGATCTTTAGCTCCCTTCTTTCCTGGTTGCTGTGGCCCATGCTACTGTTGCTGATGATTTCTGTAAGAAATTCTGCATTGTTCACCAATAGCAGATCCAGAAGAGCCCTGTTTGGCTTATGACCAAGAAGCATAAGAAGCTATACCCTTCAGAAATCTAGGAGCTTGTGTCCTGCCCTTCTAGCAGGTTATCAGGGTACTTATTCTCTTTCCCTAAGATGCAAGGTCCATGATCTGGAGACCTGTGCATGTTGTCTAAAGATTATCTGCTTCATCCTGACTGATGTCTGCTACAAATTCCTACCTCAGTGTTACCCTTACTGACCTCTTCTCTTATCCTGACCCACAAGGCATTGCTTACATTGCTCCACGTAAGACCATCTTATATTTGAGCTGCTCCTCCACACAGGGGGAAGACCAGGAGGTTGCTCTTTTGACTGTCATCCCTAAGCTTCTAACCACCCTTAAGTGTTCTCCAGTTGGATGAGCTGTCCCACCCTACGTCAGTAATTCAGTATGGGGTAGTTACGTCAGGACATGCAGGGCTATAGCTCCTCCTGTTTCCCAGGCTATGCCTAGGTTCTAGTTCCCAGTGGTGGACAAGGGAGCATAGCATTCCATTGCTTTTCTGTTACAAGCAAAAAGGGCTATACTAGACAACTTCTAGGAAAAATTATCAAAGAAATATAAGGAGCTACGCATGAAGCTGCTTCATTTATAGTTAAAACATTCATCCACTGGCAGTTAGGGCAGCTTTAGCAGCAAAACTCCAATATTATTTTCTGTTGCGATCTCCCAGATTTAATGTAGTATATAGCAGTTTTTGAATTTGGGACTTAGATTGTACATCACTATCACAGTTTAAGTGAAGGTCAAAGCTAATTATTTAGGTGAATTTAGTGCTTTAAAATATCTGAATATATCCAAATTTAATTACTTTTTCTTAACAGCTGAGGAATATTCCTCCCTATGGATATCTATACCATAAACAGTTGCAGTCACTGTTTAGACAGTGTGGGCAGGTAAAATCTATTGCCTATGATGGATCAAAGTAAGTATAAGATACTTTAAGTATCCCACCTTTTTCATGTTCTCAGTTATGAATCTAGTAATCACTTTTTTTTTCAGTGGTGCACTGACAAAATGAGTTTATTTTTCTCTCTTAAGAATCTGTAGTTTAATGCATTGGCTACAGTAAGAAAGGTGGGTTTGAAGTTTGAGATACATTAATTGGAATAACATTAAGTAAACTAGCTGATTTAGAGACTGCCTTCCGGTTTGTCTCTTCTGTGGTCTAAGAGTGTACCTTAACTGCAGCTGATCAGTCTGTATTTCTAACTTGTATACTGAATTTAGCTTGTTTGTACAGTCAGATGGCTTTGCACAAATGCATGCGACTAGCTCTTCTAGCTAATCATCTCACTAACTTTGGACTGCAACTGTTCAAAGCTGAAGTCACGCAATCCTCCTTAGGCCTTTTCCAGTCTTTCCTTACTCACATATATTTCCATATCCTTTCTATTTCTATTAAATATGCTTAGTAAATTTGGTATGGGCTTGTGAGAATGTTAGAAAGATTTTCTTATAACCATCATGATAACTAATGTATTAAGATTCATAAGAACAACAGGCAAAGCTTTTGAAGAACCTACTTTTTACTGTTCACTGACCTGCTGAGATAAAGATAGGGAGAGGAAATGACAGCTTTTCTGGGATTTTTGTTGTGTTTTCATTCCTCATCGAGTACTAATTGCAACTTTACTTGGTGGGGCTTTTGTTTTGCTTTGTTGTGTTTTGCGTTTTTTTGAATAGGGCTTTTGTGGAGTTCTCCCGTAACCCAATGGAGGGCTTTAAGATTCTTCCCGCAGTATACCTGTCAGTCAAGATGTCACAGCTGAAAAGTCCTCTTTCACTGAATGCTTATCATCTAAATGATATTGAAAAGCAATTGCAAGGAGTCACAGCTCTGAGTGTGGAATCTCTAAGGTAATTGTATAGCATATGGAAAAACACGTTTCTTTGTGTTGAAATGAGATTTGCTGGAATCAATGGGGATTTCCATGGAAGTGTCACCAAGGAAGACATGTTAGGTTCAAAAAGCATGTGTGTAAACTTTGCATAAGCAGCATGTTTTTGTAGGACTAGAAATAACATACTTGTCTTGCATGTTTCTTTATAGTTAAAGGGGGTTTACTGTTGAAGAGAACACCAAGTATAGGCTTTTTCTTTGTTTTAAAGTTTTTAGTGCATTTGCCCTTGGTATATAGAAAGATGGATGTACACATTAATTTTTCTTCATGCTATAGACAATGTGGGGATTGTTAGAGCCAAAGCAAATAAGGAGTGGCATTTAGTGACATAAAAGTGAGGGAGGAGGAGTATAACAACAGAAACTGGGGAGAAGTGTAATAGCGTAAGGTGGGGAGGCATAATAGAAAATACTAATGAGGAATGCAGTGTAGTGAGTCTTTCTGGCCCACACCTACTTTTGTTAAAAATTCTGGTATGTGGGTTTCATTGTTGCTATATGCTGTCTGTGATTCTGAGCTTCAGGTCATACAAGCCACTTGTTAAAATGGTAATCTGCCTAGCTTCTGCTTGGCCTGGAGGCATTTTAGTATTTTCAAGAAATCTAACTAAAATAGGAAGGCCAGAATGAACTGGAAATGTTAAAGTGCAGGTGAATACTTCAGCAGCAGTTGACTGTATTTAGTGTTGAATAAAATATTTTAGCAGTTTGACTGTGCCCAAAACAGCACTTAAAATCTTTGTGGAAATTAATTCTTGAGGGACTTGTGAAGTCTCCTAGACTAAAAGGCTAGTTTTGGAGTTCTTAACTTCTGTCAAGTAAAAGGAATATGATATATAAAAAAAAAAATATGAATTTATCTTTGTGCTGGTTTTTTGTACTGTTTTTTAAAAAATTAAGCTTAGGGGGCATGCCATAGCAAAATGCCTCACTATTTAACCTTAATTCTTTGAATTCCTAACAAATGGATGGCACAGTTGTGTCTTGGTCTGTATCTTCCTTTGCTTTATTATAATGGCATTCAGTTACTCTGTAGTATTTTGGTTCTGCATGGTCATTTTGCATTCTAATAGAATTCATATGTTACTGACTAAAAGTTGTTAAGTACATAAATGTGGCCTAGGGACACCTTGGGAAGTAAATGAAAGCAAAAGAATAGGACTCCTGAGGTTTTGCTTGTGAAGTATTTAGCATCATTATTCCATTAACTTTTTAGAGTAAATGTGGACTGTCAAAAGCAGAGTGTGGAGCCTGTGGAAATTTCATTTGGTGCTTTACAACAGTTAAAGATGATCCCAAATCGTCTTCTGTCCATCAAGATAACAGAGGTAGGAATGTTCTACATCTGAAGTAAGGAATATCTAATAATCATTACCATAGTTAACTTTGAGGAGATTAAATTTGAGGAGATTAATATCTGATAATCTTTAATGAAAAGAATGGGTGCTAATAATGTTTTTAGCATAGAGGTAACCTTAGGACACATGGGGAATATTCTTCGTCTGCTTTTCAGTAGTTCTTTGTTAAACAGTGCTCATACATCACACATAAATTTCAAACATTGGAATTTACTTGCGCTTGACAAAATTTGTGAGATTTACTGGCAGTAAATGTTAGCTGGAAGTAGGCATAAATGTAAAGAAAATTGATGGGAAGGGGGAAATATTTGTTTCCATTGTAGAAATGAGAATCAGTAGGTATTTGGGCCATTTACCTGGTTGTTATTAACTGGCAGTTTTAATGAGAAACTGTAGATGTGAGAACTGAGATGAGTTAATGGTACTGCATGCTTATTCGGGAAAAATGTTGTCTGCGAAAAAAGGTAGTGTGTTAGGAGAAAATTGTGTGCGTATATAATATGTCTGGATTCTGAAGCTGAGAAGTTTTACATCTTGTGTTAACTATCTTCCCAACAAATAGAGTAATACAAGCAGTATATATGCTGCTGAAATAAAAACAATGATAAAAACAATCCAAACCACTGAAATTGCAGGCTGAAGTATTAAAACAGCTCCTGATACTAGTGGCATGGTTTGCAGGTGCAGAAAAGAGCACTTTCCTCATTTTATTCATGTAAGTGTTGCATCAGAAATGTCTGTGGTTTGGTCAGACATATTCTAACCATATAGCTATTTGTGTTGTGTTTGTTAACACATGAGCTTTAATGGTCATGTGTATTGAAAATAAAGGTTCTTCTTTATCGCAAGCATTTGTTAGAATATCAGAAATGGTATAGAAGTTCAGTAAGCCATTTGTAAAGATGGCTGATTTTATTCCGTTTTATTTCAGTAGTGGTGTGTTCTTTTCAGTGTCCTAAGGGATAGCTGATCATAACAGTAACAATGCTGATTTGTTAATAGATGCAGCTAACTGGTATTCTTTCACTAATAAGAGAAGTGCACCATATGTGTATCTGGCTAGTAACTGTATACATTGTTTTCTGTGTGTGAATTTCATTTAGAAAAATAGAAGCAATCTTTTCTAAATTTTCTGTACTTTAATAATGTTTATATTGGGGTGTATTTAGAGGAAAAATGTATTGCACATCAGTTAAACATTTTAAATTAACATCTAATTATGAGAGAAATGCTTCACTATTATTGCAGTATGAGAACTGTTGTATGTGCATGTCAGGAGTAGGAGTGCTTTAAAGTATTTTGCTCAGGTGTGTTTTGTATTTGATATAGAATAACAATACAAAATCTTATATTGTCTATTTTTTGTACTTTCAGATAGTAGAAGTTGGACACTTTTGGGGTTACAGGACAGATGAAAAAAACAGAACTGTACTTCAGGCTCTAACTGATGAAATTAACTACCAGAACCTGATGGATTTGCCAGTGTCTCCACATCCAGAGATGGTTTGTCTGGCACCATTCACTCATCTGGAAGATGGAGGATATTGTAGAGCTCGTATTCTGTATGTTTGTGGAGATTTTGCTGAGGTACAGCAATATGTTATATTAAATTGGTAGCATGTAATTGGGTTAACAATCTTGGAGTTATGCTTTCATTTTTTAAAGCAAGAAAAATGTTCCTGATGAAATTGGAGAGACATCAGTTTGATATATGGACCACTCGATGGATAAAGAACTGGCTGGATGTACGCACATGAAGAGTTGTGGTCAATGGCTCAATGTCCAGCTGAGAACAGTAACAAGGAACAAGTCCAGAGAAGGGCCATGAGAATGACTGGGGACTGGAGCACCTCCCATGTGAAGATAGGCTGAGAGAGTTGAGGCTTTTCAGCCTGGAAAAGAGAAGGCTGCGTGGAGACCTCATAGCAGCCTTCCAGTGTCTGAAGGGGCCTATAAGGGTGCTGGGGAGGGACTCATCATTAGGGACTATAGTTATAGAAGAAGGGGTAACAGGTTAAAACTTAAACAGGGGAAGTTTAGATTGGATATAAGGAAGATGTTCTTTCCTGTTAGGGTGGTGAGGCACTGGAATGGGTTGCCCAAGGAAGTTGTGAATATTCCATCCCTGGCAGTGTTCAAGTCCACGTTGGACAGAGCCTTGGGTGACATGGTTTAGTGTGAGGTGTCCCTGGCCATGGCAGGGGGGTTGGAGCTTGATGATCTTGAGGTCCTTTCCAACCCTAACTATTCTATGATTCTATGATTATAACTGTTCCAGTAAACAAATCTGTAGAACTAAAAACTGTAACAAACTGATGTCAGAATAGGTGAATTAGGGTTTTTCAAGAACACAGTAATATTTTAGTATTAAATTGAGAGGCTGTTGTTGATACAGTTGAGCTATCTTGTGTGCTGAAGTGGAGCAAACCAAAATAAAGACTAAAACCTCCAGTAACTTTGAAAACATACTGAGGAATGGCTATGTCAGAGTCCAGTGCTACATTGCTGGCAGCAGCCCCATCACTTCCTCTTTATAAATATATTGAGATCCATCTGGAAGTTTCTTGACCCCGCTGTATTGCTGGTTTTCAGTCATTCATGGCCAGATTGTCTAAGGTTGTTGTTCTGCCAGTGTTTCTCCCCCTGGTCTACACAGGTTTTCTTTTTTAACTTTCTCCTCCAGTTACCTATCTATCTTCCTGGACTTTGTTTTGCTAATTGAAGCAAGTTGCACTCTTCTCACATACTACATTGACTTTTTTTTTTCATCTGGTCTCCTTCTCACTCCTCGTTTTTCTTTTGACCTCAGTTTTCTGAAACAGAAATATGCATGCTCCTGTACATACAGTTCTGCCTTTATTTATACAGTGGTGCTAGTATTCCTCTTCCAACTCAGTGTTTCTCCTCTGCATTCAAAAAATATTCCATATGGTACATGCTACATATGCCTTTCCATAGCTTTTTTTGTATGGGCCCCCTCTTGTCATCTTATACTCAGTTCTGTCTTCTTGGTAATATCCAACTAATTAGAATTTATAAATAATAACAAAGTTCATAGCAGAAATTATTAAAAACTCCAAATATGAGCTTGTCCTTCATACCATTTGTTTTTTTCCATTCGTGTTGAATTCTCAGGTCTGCTCAATGTGATCTTTTCTGTATCAATGTTTATATTGCTTAGTTCTCGATCATCAGCAAATTTATTAGAATATTTTGAATTTTTATTCCAATGTCAGTAATGGAAACTTGTGCCACAGCTCCAGATTGATATTCATTTTTCAGGACAATACTTTTTATTTTCAGCACTTAGGGACAGATTTTTATTTATTTATTTATTTATTGCTGTATTGCCCTTTGCACCTCTCATTCCTTCTTTGAATTTCTTGATTTCTTAACATAGCTGGGTGTCACCTCTACAAAGTTAATACTAAAGAGATTGTCATAGATCATGGAATACTTAGGGTTGGAAAGGACCTTAAGATCATCTAGTTCCAACCCCCCTGCCATGGGCAGGGACACTTCACGCTAACCATGTCACCCAAGGGCATCTCTTTGAAGTCATAAAGAACTAGTGAATAACACTGCTAATCTCATCACTTTCTCTTTTGCATTTATGAAGAGGTCCCCAGATCTGTGTTAGCATTTGCTTATCTAAAAGCAGTTATTGGGTAATATCATTCACTGTTTAGAAGTAAGGTTGTACAGATTTAACTGCAGAGAGAGAGAGCCTTTGAGAAATTTGCCTTTTCTAGATTAGCAGATTACTTAAATTACAGTGGATGTTTAAACCAAGGAATCAGATAATAGACATGGTAAGATTTGGTGTATTATTTTTGACATGAGTTCCCTTGCATGTTTTCCGAGCTCTGAATTTGCTTCCATTTAATTTGATAAGACTTGTGTTGTACTGTAATTAAGGTTGTCAGTTTTCTTGCTGCCGAAAGTAACGCTTCTAATGTGGGAACTCTGCATATGCTCTCCATTCTTTTTCCAGGTGTTCTTTGTGGATTATGGCAATAGATCAAAAGTGCCTTTAAAGAAATTAAAAAGGATTCCAAGCTCTCTTCAAGAGCTTCCTTTCCAGGTAGGGGTGATACTATTTGCTGCTGCTTAACAGTTGCATGTCTGGTCTGGGAAACAGAAGTGTACTTCAAATCACAACGCTTTTCAGAATAATAATAAGGTAATACGTATTTTGGTAATGGGAGCACCTACAAATCACCTTCACTAATAAGATAAATGTTTTCCAGGAATGATCATGCACAGAGCAGTAATTCTTGTGTAACTAAATTGCATTGTATTTAATTGTTGCTTTAACACTTGCTGGGGAGGTGAGTGGGAGAGAAGCCTGAACTTGCTGCCTTACTGGATGTAAAAAAATATTGTATTTTTTTATAACTGAATGGTTGAACTAGGCCTTTCTCTGTGGAGACAATATACTGGGATCTCTCTGCCATCTGTAGTCACAGAGAGAGTGGAAGGAAAGAGGAAATAGCTCTAATAGCTGCCTTTTGCTGCTTGTTGCTTTTGGTTATGTTTCTTTCTGTCAGTCAGTTCTATGAGAAATAGAACTGCCTGGAAAGAGAATGTTGTTGTAGTTCTTCTATTATCTGCTTATATGAAAAGCTTGGGAGTAACAGACTGAGCAGTACATCAGCTTAGCTTTAATCCAAAGACGCTCTGAGCAAATGGCAGAAATTTATACAGCCTAGAAAAAAGCCCAGAGAGGAGAAAGTATCCACAACTAGTTTAATCTTTTGTTCTCTGCTTAAACCTAGCTGCTGCTTAAGTGGCAGCATAGCATCTGTCCTTGTCTGCGTGGCGTGAGTCTACTGTACAGTTAATGTGCAAAATATTTTTGCTCTATCAAGGCTTCTGCTCTGCTACACTATTAGTTACAGGACAAATACATAGGAGATGCCTGATTCAAATTTCACAAGGCTACAAGTCTCTGTTTTTGTGCTTCTTTGACATTCTTTGAACTACTGCCTTTACTTGGATCTTTTCAGACAGAACCCTTTTGATAATTAAATAGTGATATATAACATAGACCTGAGGGACTTTATACCTAATTTTTGAGAAAAATAATTCTCTTGAGCTATATTTACAAATCAGGTAACTAGAATTCAAGTGAAATTCAGCTTTTCTGTCCTCATTCAGTGAACTGAAACAAGTGTGTCATAGTAATTTTTTCTGAAGCATTTAATGATGAAAAGATAATGAGCAGAAGTGTAGTTTTATAGTTCTCTAGTTTTCTATATTTTATTTATACCTTCTTAGTACTAGATCTTAGCCGGCCTCATTTTATTTTTTTGAATAATTTATTTTAAAATATAAGTATTCATTTTGGCAGGAAGCATCGTTTTTTTGTGTTTTCTTCAGATGCATTAAAGGGAAGTGTATTTGTGCTTCAGGCCTAATCTTTTAATGACTGGTTTTAATGACTAGCTAGGAAAAAAAAACTGGTTTTGTTGAAAATTCGTTTGAAGACATAATTACAGCTAGTGGTTGGGGGAATGGGTTAAATGTGAGCTTCCTCTTGCCTGCCAGGAACAGAATAGCTGCAGTGGTCTTGCCAAGTTTTCTGTTACTGTAGTTGAAAAGAACTCTGGATTATACAGAGAAGACATCTCTACACCCTAGATTTTAATGTGGATGGTGAATTAATACCAAATTATCTTCTGTTTATACTCTGTTAGCTTTGTTTCATTAGCAACTATGTACAATATTGAAGTCAGATGTAATGTGTAGCTGTGTTGGCAATGATGGAATAGGAATTATGCCAGTAGCTTTACAGCAGTCTTAGTAATTAACATAAGCCACTGCAATAATTACGAAGTAATTTATAGTTACTAATTCAAACAGTTTGGGGAAAAAATATTTTTGTGCTGATTTCTACTCAGGTAAGCGTTGTTTTCCATTTTTTGTTCTAGGCTTTAGAATTCAAGATGTGCAAGATGCGTCCTTCTGCAAAATCTCTTGTGTGCGGGGAACAGTGGAGTTACAGTGCTAACCAAAGATTTGCCTCATTAGTAAATGGCTCTGCAATTTTAGTGAAGGTGTATTCACTTGTGCATAGTGTTCTGCATGTAGATGTTTTCTGTTCCGAGGGGTACCAAGAGTTTGTGAATATTCGAGATGTGCTTATTGAAGAATGTTATGCTGAACTAGCAGAAGAATCATATGAATCACAAGTATGTATTGAGTAAAGTTCCTTCTACTTTTTTTATACTAATATACTTCAGCTCAGACTGAAGTGCTGAAAAATTGTGTTGAAGTCTTGACTAATCCCATGGGATTAGGCAAGGTTAATCCTCGAATAGGACAACATATGTGTGTTCATCGTTTATATTAACTTGTTGTCTAAAAGCATTGCTGCTTTGAGACTTCTTTTGAGAGATGTGTCCCAAGCGATAATTGCATCTGAACTGTTCCATTGGTTTTTTTAAACTTTGAAAAAATGTACGTCTCATAATTTTAACTGTCTCCCATATATAATCTAAAATGTAATGAGAACCTTGGGTTTTGTATTTGTATGTGAGTTTGTATGTAGGGTTTGTGTAGGGTCTTTTTTATAAAATATATGAAAAATGTAGCCATTTCATGGTTTTAACACTCTTCCATTGTTATGTAGCAAAGCCATAGTTTGCTCAGGGAATTATTTTTGGACCAAGTAAAAGAACAGAAAATGTCTGTATCTTCAAGAAAGGAAGAAAAGCATCTCCTTGAAAGATTGTTAAACTGCTTTTCTGAACATAAATCTAATGTGCCAAGCCATAAGGTAACTTGGGTGGTGGTTTTGGTATGTCATTTCATGACCCTACTTCTTACAGTGTTAAAATGGAGATGAAGACTAAAAGTATCTTTAACACCCAAATCACATCTGATGCCTTTCATAGTGTATTCTGTTTTCTGTTGGTAAAAAGCTGTAATGAGAACCACTGAGACTAGCTTTTTGGAACTTCTAACAAAGTTTTGAAGCTTTGCCTAAGAGCCAAGTGAACCAGCTCTTCTAACACATTTTAAGGCAGCACTTTGAATCGCTGCAGAATAAAGATAAAAAAACTGAACAGTGTTTCCACCTCTGGTAGGCTTTACTACATAAGATACAGCAGAAAGCAAGGTTACAGTGCTACTGGTTTGGGGTTTTTTTGTTTTGTTTTTCCAGAAAAATTTTGAACATGATTTTTACTATAAACAGTGTTTTGTTCTTCCTCAGCTAGTGATAGGTAAGCTGCTAGGATAGGTAATGCAGTGAACAGTCTAGTAACCCAAACTCAGAATTTATCCTTGCTTGCTTACTTTGAGATATTTAGTCACTACTAACCTGGAATATAAAACATGCAAATCTGTGTCCTGCTCTGCATTCTGATTACAAGTTAAGCCCTCATCTGTATTATAATTCTGTTCACATTTCAGACCCAACAATATTTCAGGTTTTCAAGTGTCTCTTCATGCTCAATTTACCCACAGGAGTAATCCTGTTTAACTGCTCACTTTATGAAAGTGAGAGATTTGTCAAGATTAAAGACTGCTCATGTAAACAAAAACATGACCTGATTTTATTAGGTACTCTGTGAAGTATGAACTTGTGCTTTTTAAGCCAGATGGAAGTTGTGAATCCCTGACACCTGTGAAAAATACATTATTTTTGTTGAAGTGCCTCAACAAGCAAGTGCTCTAGATGGGTGAAATGAAAATGCTGTTTATCAGTTTATCAATTCAGTGTTGCTCAGTATATGCTGAAATGTGTTTTGGGTTTTATTTATAGAGTATTTTGATTTGGAGAGATCCAAGTGCTGGCTAACTAGAATATCATTTGCTCCCTTTCTTTTGAAGGTAACAGTTTTTGGCCCATTCAGTCCGTATGAGCTGAAATGCTACAGTATGACAAGAGTATCCCAGTTCAGGTATGGGAAGACTTTCACTGTGAAGTATAGGCACGTTCTCAGATAGAATATTCAATATATAGGCAAAACCCATCCTAGTTATTCTTAACAGATTTTCACAGAATTTTTATCCTTTGAAAGGACTAAAGGAGTCAGTATTAAGTTGCATTCATATGCACACTATCACTATGTAAGAATTTAAGGATAGTTTTATTAGGTGCTTTAATGTCTTACAAAGAGATAATTTATTAATCATGTACATCTGTTAAATGGTATTCAGGTAACTTCTGTCCATTGAGGTTGGATTGTGAATTTAAAATAATACTGGGTTTTTAATGTGTCTGTATGGGGTTTGGTTTTTGGTTCAGCTTTTTTAATGTTGAAAATACTTTATTTCCTTCCAGAAAAATTCTTATACAAAAGCAAAGCATAAACTCTGTTGTTCTCCATGATGCTTCAGAAGAAACCTCTCAGCAGTTGTTGGTTTCTGCGTCTGTATCAGCAAATGCAACTGGTAATGCGTAATAAAAGTGTTCAGACTGTTTCTCCAGACTTTGGTTTTATGGGAATAGTCCTACGAGGAAATGTTACATCCTTTTGAGGTTTCATTTTCATTAGCTACTCCATAGAGGTGGTCTTTTTTTTTTTTTGTCCTATGTGTGTGACAGGATCTGCTGTGATTTTAGAAGAAACGTCTTTGATGCCTCCTATTCCTGGCCTGCTTCCACTCCTCAGTATGCTGTTTGCTCCTGCTATAGAACTAAGGTATTCATGCCTTTTAAAAAGCAGGAGTGTGCATGTGTTTGGGTATTGTTTTGGTTTTTTAGGATCCCTCACAAATTGGTGACTTTTTTTTTTCCCCTGCTTTTAGCATTTCCTGTTCATGTAATTCTTGTATCTTTTAATCAGTTTCAGTATAGTTTGTAGCTAAGATAACTTGTTTCATATACTTAGGAATTGGTGCTGCAGGCTATACTCCCACAGTAAGGCAGTACAGTTCCTGACAATTGTGCTGGAAGCCTAGGAAGATGTACTGTAGAACTGGGCAAGTTTTAAACCAACGTGAGGAGAAGAACTTGCTTGATGTTTGTAGAAGTGCATAAACTCTTCTGTAAAAGAGCTCTGGCAGTTGCTGTTGTTTGGTTTAAATTCTTGTGTCTGTGGACTGTCACTTCAACATAGTGAAGCTAGCTTTCCTTAAATTTTATTTTGCATATGTATGATTTTTCCTTTTAAGTTTTATAAGTGTATGTTTCTGTAACCAGAACTTTAGTTTTGTTTCATCACTATATTTGAAAAAAAACAGCATGACTAAGTATGAATGCCTCTCAGTTGTGTTAGCTTCTTCAAAACACCTGCATCTTGCTTGGCATGGCTTGAACAAATTCATTTAACTCTGCATATGAGTGTTTAGTTTTTTCATCTCTAGGTGAGATTGTTTTTCTTCTTTTCCATATAGGGTTGATAAAAGTGGAAAGTATTTCACTGGTGTTTTGTGCGGTTTGGGTTGGAGTCAGAATTCTGGAGCTCCCCTGCTTCCAGAAAATGACATGGAACTGACATTTGATGTGCATTTTGGAGTGGAAGACATATCAGAGGTAAAACATGTATAAGAATTTATCAAGCTGCTTGTCTCAGAGCAGATCAAACAAATAAAAATCCCTGTATTCCTCATTACGGCCTTTTTGCAACTTGCAGGCAGAGATCTGTCAAAGGCAAGTACATGTATCCACTCTCGTTATGCAGGACAGAAAGCCGTATTTGACCTGTGCTTCAGATTTGATATGGGCTTTTGTCCTGGGTTCAGCAGTAGCAAAAGACCTCACATGCCCTGATTAGCTCTGTGTACAGAGCAGGTGATGGCCCATGGTTTCTGGTAGCTTTTTAAGGACATAGTGGACATGCTGGTGCACGTATCGTAGAATCACAGAATGGTTTGGGTTGGAAGGGACCTTAAAGATCATCTACTTCCAACCCCTCAGCCATGGGCCAGGACACCTCCCACTAGACCAGGCTTCTCAAAGCCCTGTCCAGTCTGGCCTTGAACCCCCTTGAAGGGACAGCTTCTCTGGGCAACCTGTGCCAGTGTCTCACCACCCTCGTTCTTCCTTCTAGAATTCAAATCTACCCACTTTCAGTTTAAAACCATTACCCCCTGTCCTATTACTGTATGCTCTTGTAAAAAGTCCCTCTCCAGCTTTCTTGTTGGCCCCTTAAGGTACTGGAAGGCTGCTTTGAGGTCTCCATAGAGCCTTCTCTCTTCTAGGCTGAACAAGCCCAACTCTTTCAGCCTGTTTTTGTAGGAGAGGTGCTCTGATCATCTCTTTGACCCTCCTCTAGACTTGCTCCAATAAGTCAGTGCTCTTATGTTTGTGGCCCCGGAACTGCACACAGTGCTGCAGGTGGGATCTCACGAGAGCAGAGTAGAGGGGGAGAGTCACAGCCTTTGACCTATTGGTCATGATCCTTTTAATGTAGCCCAGAATATGTTTGGCTCTCTGGGGTGCAAGCACACACTGTCAGCTCATGTTGAGCTTCCATCATCTGACACCCCCGAGTCCTTCTTCTCAGGGCTGCTCTCAATCCAGTTTCCACCTAGCCTGTGTTTGGCCTTGGGATTGCCCCAACTCAGTTTCAGGACCTTGCATTTGGCCTTGTTGAACTTCATGAGGTTCACGCAGGCCCCCCCCTCAAGCCTGTCAAGGCCCCTCTGGATGTCATCCCTTCCCTTCAGCATGTCGGCTGTATCACACAGCTTGGTGTCATTGGCAGACTTGCAGAGGGTGCACTCAATCCCACGAGGTCCATGTTGCCAACAAATGTATTAAACGTCAACAGTCCCAGTACTGACCCTGAAGAACATCAGTTGTTGCTGGTCTCCACTTGGACAGCAAGCTGATGACCGCAACTGTCTTGAGTGTGACCTTCCAGCTAGTTCCTTACCCACCCAGTGATCTATCCATCAGATCCATACCTCTCCAGTTTAGAGACAAGGATCTTGTGTGAGACAGTGTCAAAAACACGTTTCACAAGTCCATGTGGGTGACATCAGTTCCTATTTCCTTATCTACCAACACTGTAACCCCATAGCAGGAGGCCACCAAATTTTCAAATCCCTGATGCACAATTTGCCCATAGTGAAGCCATGCATGTGAAAATTACAGACCCATGGAGAAAATCCTCAAAACTTTTACAGAAGGAATTCTGTGTTGGGAAAAGAATCCAGGCAAGTGGTAGCCTGTATGTTTTGTGGCATATCTGAGTAACCTGGATGATTGTGGTATTAAGGGGATGAACATTAACATCTTGAACCAGCAGAGATGCATCTAGAGGAAGTGTTTCTAAAGCTTCAAATGGTTTTGCTTATGTTAATAATATTTCTGTTGAAGTTTGGTGGTATGGGTGCCACAGCCTCTTTGTGTCAATATATAATAATATAATACAATACAATATAATACAGAGCTAGTGCTGGTTTAGAGTGCTTTATATTCTGTCACTGGTGTTTTTATAGATAAATATCCTAAGGACAGCCATTAATAAGCTGCTTTCTGAACGCACAGTGTGTTTTGAACAAACAAGAGTGACACAGCTGCAGGAGGATGTTCGTCAGAAGCTTCTACGGTAATAATTTCATAGAAATAAGATAATCTGTTTCAGTCTCAGCAAAACCAAAATAAATAATTGCTTGAAGCATAGCTCAGATTAAGCTTTAGGGAAACAATGTATATTCTCATTTAATGATTCATTTAATTTACTTTTGTTTATTTATAAAGCAGTATACTAAACAACTTTAGACTTCTTGTGGAAGCACTGGTTCTTCAGGGAAGCCTGATCACTTAAGAGTCATGAAACATAGACTGTAAAACTTGTTCTACAGGATACCACTTCTGGTGTACCTTTGCTTTGTGCGTGCAGGACAAAGCTAATAAAGTTGTACAGCATAAGAGCGCAGATAAGAGTGCAGAAGGATTAAGAATTTTTTTATCCCTACATGTTACAGTTGAATCATGTGTGCTGTCTTCTTCCCTCAACAGACCAGTGTAGGATAGGTGTTGGCCAAGTTAATTGCGGGAAGTCCCATGCTAATTTGTGAATGGAAGTAAAGCCACCTGTCTTTGCTTTGAGCCAGCTGTGGCAGTGGGCTGTGTGCACCTTCAGAAAGTGGTGGTACAGCTCCACAAAGGCTTACCTCAAAAATGCATGCTGTTTGTGCTTTCAACTTAAGGAGAACCAGTGCAGGTTGATGGCAAGCTCTTCATGTTTCACATCTGAAAATCTCTTGGTAAAATCCCAGCTGTTGAGGATACTGCTGATTAAATGTTTAATTTCCTGTTTGCGTCCAGGTACTTCAGGCCAGTCGATGTCTGTATTGCCTTTGGACACTGCCATGTAGTACCACGTTTAGGCTTCAAAGCTGAATGAAGTTTGCTTGTGTGATTCATGTGGTAACAATTGTAGGGAGAAATTGAGGAAAGTGGATAGGCAGAAAGCAGCAAAACCACATAACCTTTCTGGAGGTGACTGTGACAGTAACAGGAGCTCATGTTTGGAAACCAGCACTTACATGCTAAATTCAAGGCACAGAAATGTCACTGCTGTTTCTTTGGATATGTGAATACCTGCTAGTGTTTCACATGTACCTGCTAGTTAAAATAGTACCTATTTTAGGTTGATTGTTCAGACATCTCCAGCCAGGTGGGAGAGGAAGGAGCAGCCTGAGCAGCTCCAGCGTTGACATGCTCCCCACTTCCATCAGCGTTCCCTGCCTGACTTGGTCATTCTCAGCAGCCTTCTGGGTTTTTTTTTCTTTAGGATTTTACACCTCTTTGGGTAGCGTTTTCTCTCCTAGATTTTTTTGTGCTTTTATTGATTCTGTTCCAACAATCCTACAGTTAATTTTTCCAGTTTTGGGGTTGGGTTCTTTTTTACCTTTTTGAAGAAAGAGACAGTCTGGTTATTGTCATGATGTCGTCTTTTCCTTTGTGTAAAATCTGCCTGCATTTTGAATGTTTTCTTCTCATTATACTTCATGTCTTGGAAAAAACTAACTATTAGTAAAAGCACATAGGTAAAAATTTAGCCTGACCAGTCTTTCATAATTTTCCTCAATTTTTCAAAAGCTAGTTGTATTTACAACATGTCACCACTACTTAAGACTAAAATCAGTTTTTGAAAAACACATCTAGACAGAATTAATTAATGTCTACTGCTGTTGTACTTCGCACAGCTTGAAGGAATAACTGGAGCAGACAGAGAATCTATAGTAATTGAGTTGTCATGCAAAACAACATACCCTAAAAATAGCTTTATTATACATTATAGTGAATAAGTATGCATAAAGCTTATGGAATAAATGACACTTGCAAATTTAGTACTTTTTAAATTTAGAAAAAAAAACATAATTTTCTTTAAAAGAAAATAATTCTTATCAACTTAACATCCCTATGAAAACCTGTATTTTGACTTTCTACACTAGAGGGGCAAAGTATAGAGAAGTGAACTAATCAGACTAGATTAGCAAGGAAATTTAAGATTCCCTTAAGCACAGACGCCTCATAAATGCCTAGCTGTGTCTAATACAGAAATTCCTTTTGCTTTAGAATTAATCTAATACAAGTGTATTTCTTAAGGCTATTTTTATGTAATTTCAGTTTAATCTGCAAATCAAAACCTCGAGAAAAAGTTGTTCCTACATGGTACGAGAAGCCGTATGCATGGAATCAGGTAAGGGTCTACAAATATATTTTTTTTCCTTTTCCCCTACGAAGAGTAGTTGGAGTACCCCAACAGTTAGTTAAGAGTGCTCAAAGGGAGAATTTCCTTTGGAAGGATGTCTTTTTTGGGTATTGAATTTAAAGATTCTGAAAATACTGTACAGTCGAATTTAAGGCGTAAGAACTGTTGAGTATACAGCAGTCCCTATTTATATCCTATTAGTCTAGTTTGTTGGGTAGCTTGAGTTTTTACTTTTGCAGTTTAGTTTACACTTTTCAAACGGAACATGATTTTTGAGAGACATATTTATCTGAATGTAGTGCATTTTGTTTTGGGTTACTGTGCTTTCAGGTGGCTTTTCCCTTTAAGCAGACAGAAATGTGACTTGCTTTAGAATGAATGTGGTGGGATCAGGTCGGAGGGCAGTTTTCTTGAAACCTGGGATTGTTTCATAAAGCTGAAAAGTCTGGCTTCCTGCTGTTAGAAATCTTACCTTTCTTTCTGTAAGGGCCTCTGCAGGCCGCTATATTTCCTGATGAACAAGTGCTTTTTCTTAATTAAAAAAGGGTGAGGAATTACTGAGTGCTGTAGTAAGGCTTCTACATACACCCCCCCTGTGTCTCTCCCACCCTGAGGCAGATAAATGAGCAGTTTGGGTCTCCTTGAAAAGATGGGCAACAGTAAACAAACATCAAGGGCTCTTATTTCTAGTAGCCATTCCCTGAGGGGTTACAATGTGTTGTGATACACTGCTTTAAGCCAAAGTGTTTCCATATTGCAAATGTGATTATCCTTGGTATTATGAAAATAATCTCCTATTCAGTTATATTGGTGTTTAGCTTGTATAACAAGTTAGTGTATAGGTGCTGGATCAGGATTGTCCTCACTGCATCTGAAGAATTTCAAGACATCTTTTTTACATCATCACATGAAATGCTACCTGTAATGCTTTGGAATTGATTGTGTAATAGTATATTGACTCAGGCAAACCATGAGATACAGCATTCCATAGCACTGGCTATTTATGTTGACATGTGTGGCATGGAACTGAAATTCCTGTGTGATTTGAAACTCAGAACTCTTCAAGACTCTTTTCCCTAGCTATGTTATATAGGAAAACATAATTAAAAATGCTTTCTGACTTTCCTCTTGCATCTTTTGATTAGGTGCATCCTCAGCATATTATTGACCAGTCTGAAAAGCAGCATGAAAGAAGAAATGGTCTTTATCAGCTACATAAGCTTGTTTTGTTGAATGCTTAAGGATTTCTAGAAGTCTTTCAGAGGACAAGGAATTGCAGCTAGTCTGAAAAGTTTTTCTGTCTTCTATGTAACCCTTGGACTCACATTTTGCAAGACTGTTTCTTGAGATTAGTGTAAGTGTACTTAAAATACAGTTTGGAACATGTTAATGCATTTTTAGAAAGCTAAGGTTTGCTGACCTAGAGCAGGTGAGTTTATGAATAAACTGGGGTAAAGCAGGATGTATTTTTCATTTTAATAATACTTCTGAACAGGTTTATCACAAGGTATGTGAAAGACAAAATCTAGGTTTAGTTGTTTGTTTTCTGTCTAAAGGCTCCTAAGCCATAGAGCATGATTTTTTTGTCTTTAAATACAAGTTGTATTTTCCTGTTACTTTTCTCATCAGCTTTTCAAAAAGCCATGCAACAAAGGTTTTCCTTAACTGAAGAAAACTAGAAGACAAAGGAAACTTGTGATCTAGATTATGTTCTTATAAGAAGTATGTTTTCATATATTGGATACATTTTTTTCATTATTTTTTCATAAAGAAAAACATGATATGGTTTCTCTTCCTGTATGGTGGAAGAATGCTTTTGAATTAGTTTCATGGCACCTTTCTTTCATGTTTCATCTTTTCATTTTACTTTTACCTGTGAGATCTTTACTCCTAAAAATGAGGTCAGTGGTTTCAGAATAAAATGCTGAAGTGAAATAAAATTTGTCTCTTCTGTTGTGCAGTCATGCTTAATAAAAGCTAAATTTAGTTATTAATGGTATGTGATTGCATTCATGAAATGTATGAATACAAAAACAGTATATGGAAAATGTTAACCTTTTCACTGTTCAGTCAGCGATTTGAAGGCTGCAATATCGGGTCATCCTCTGCAGAACAGACAGAATCATACCATTTAAAAAGTACTAGATTTGGGGAAAATAAGGGGATGCTTAAGTGAAGAAATTATTTTAAGATGTACTTAAATAGGGGGGCAGCTGAGGTGAGTATCTCGAGAGAGGCCGCCTTCAACACCGGAGCGGGGGAAGCTCAGCGTCCAGGAGCCTCAACTCACAGCGGCAACAGCCACCGAGGGAGCCTCGAGTCCTCGACAGGACCTGCCCGGGAGCCGGCAGCTCAGCTGACGTGAGAGAGCAGCTGACTCACAGGGGGCGGAGCCAGGAGGGGCGGCACCAGCCCTGATTGGTTAAAAACCTGCCCAGGGGGGGCGGCGAGCAGAGCGGGTCGAGGCAGCTCGGGCGGGCAGGGGAGCCGGATGGAGAGCGCTCAGCGTGTGAGCAGCGCCCGGTCCGGGAGCTCTGCCCTGGCTGCCCCGGCGGTAGCAGCGTAGGCACCCAGAGAGAGGAGATGAGAGGGGAGGCTGCAGTGCAGAGCTCGGGGTGTAGAGAGTGCCTGCACCGGTCTGGTGAGGGGAGGGTGCACAATGGGAGGGCTGCACTCGGTGCTCCCTGGTGGAGGTCCTGCAGCAGGGACTGAGCTGCGGGATGCTGTCAATAGACTGCGAGATGTCAGGGAAGCTGAGAGGAAGCAGGAATGCTTGCGCCAGGCCCAAACTGTGCAAGGGCCTCGAGCGTCCATTGTAGCTCATGGAGGAAAGAAGGAGGCCGTTAACCTGGGAAGCTGGGAACTAGTGACAGAAAAGAAAAACAACAAAGAAAGGAGGAAAAGGACAATTAAAAGCCAGGGGCTTCCTCCTAAACCACTTCGCTGTCCTGCAGGGGGTTGATGAAACACCCTTGCACCAGAAACAGCCAGCTGGTGCACTGCTAAAGAGGATCTCTACTGGTGCTGCCAGGAAAAAGCAGCAAGATGTAGGAGACTCTACTTTGAAAGGGACAGAGGCACTCACCTGTCGGCCTGACCTGCTCTCAAGGGAGGTGTGTTGCCTGTCAGGCACTTGGATCAGGGATGTTGCAGACAGGCTGCCTGGTCTAGTGAGTCCCACTGACTTACCCACTTCCAGTGGTCCATGTGGGTGCTACTGATATAGAGAGCAGTAGCCTGGGGAACATGAAGAAGGACTACAGAGCCCTGGGAGAGGTGGTTAGGGGCGCTGGAGCTCAGATTGTCTGTCAATTCTCCAGGATACAGGGGAGGACCTTAAAAAGGCTGGGAGGATTGGCCAGGTTAATAAATGGTTAAAAGGGTGGTGCCATAGTCAGGGGTTTGGGTGTCTTGAACATGGGACCCAAGTTTGTAGGCCAGGTCTACTGGAGGCTGGGGGAGCTGCTTTGGTAGGAGGCTTGCCAGACTGGTCAAGGATGCTTTAAACTAGATGTGCTGGGGGAGGGGGGCATCGTTCCATCCCAACACACCCAGTCAGCTGCCAGCACCTGTAATAAATGCTCGGAGCAATGTAGAGATATTTCAGCTACTCCAGCCAATGAGCCGGCTTCATCTAGAGCTAGGCTCAAATGCATCCATACAAACGCCCATGGCATGGGAAACAAGCAAGGAATTAGAGATGTGTGCACGTCTACAGGGGTATGATGTAACAGGCATCACAGAAACATGGTGGGATGGCTCTTACGACTGGAGTGTTGGAATGGAAGGTTACAGGCTCTTTAGAAAAGACAGGCCTGGCAGGCAGGGAGGGGGAGTTGCCCTTTATGTTAGGGACATCATAGGCCCCCTCTGGAAGCTCTCAGGAGAGCTGACTACCCTGGATTTGGAGAAGGCTGAGGTTCTGAATGACTTCTTTGCCTCGGTCTTCGCTGGCAAAGGCTCTGGCCACACAACACAAGTCTTGGAAGGCAGACGCAGGGACTGTGAGAATGAAGACCCTAGGCCTACTATAGGAGAGGATCTGGTTCAAGACATCTTAAAAACCTGAATGTGCACATGTCCATGGGACCTGATGAGATTCATCCGTGGGTCCTGAAGGAGCTGGCGAATGAAGTTGCTAAGCCACTGGCCGTCATATTTGAGAAATCATAGCAGTCAGGGGAAGTTCCGGACGACTGGAAAAAGGGAAATATAACCCCCATTTTCAAGAAGAGGAAAATGCATGACTTAGGGAATTACAGACCAGTCAGTCTCATCTCTGTGCCTGGCAAAATCTTGGAGCAGATTCTCCTGGAAGGCATGCTAAGGCACATGAAAAACAACAAGGTGCTTGGTGACAGCCAGCATGGCTTCACTAAGGGGAAATCCTGCCTGACCAATTTGGTGGCCTTCTATGATGGGGCTACAGAACTGATGGACAGGGGTAGAGCAGTTGATGTCATCTACCTGGACTTGTGCAAAGCATTCGACACTGTCCCACACGACATCCTTGTCTCTAAACTGGAGAGACATCAATTTGATGGATGGACCACTCGGTGGATAAAGAACTGGCTGGATGGCCGCACACAAAGAGTTGTGGCCAATGGCTCAATGTTTTCCAGCTGGAGACCAGTAACGAGTGGTGTCCCTCAGGGATCGGTGTTGGGACCGGTCTTGTTCAACATCTTTGTCACTGACATGGACAGTGGGATTGAGTGCGCCCTCAGCAAGTTTGCCGATGACACCAAGCTGTGTGGTTCGGTTGATACGCTGGAGGGAAGGAATGCCATCCAGAGGGACCTCGACGTGCTTGTGAGGTGGGCTGATGCCAACCTCATGAGGTTTAACCATGCCAAGTGCAAGGTCCTACACCTGGGTGGGATCAATCCCAGGCACAGCTACAGGTTGGGCAGAGAAGAGATTCAAAGCAGCCCTGTGGAGAAGGACTTGGGGGTGTTGCTTGATGAGGAAATGAACATGAGCCGGCTTCAGTGTGTGCTCGCAGCCCAGAAAGCCAACTGTATCCTGGGCTGCATTAAAAGGAACATGACCAGCAGGTCGAAGGAGGTGATCCTGCCCCTCTACTCTGCTCTCGTGAGACCTCACCTGGAGTATTGTGTGCAGTTCTGGTGTCCTCAACATAAAAAGGACATGGAACTGTTGGAACAAGTCCAGAGGAGTGCCATGAGGATGATCAGGGGACTGGAGCACCTCCTGTATGAAGACAGGCTGAGGAAGTTGGGGCTGTTCAGCCTGGAGAGGAGAAGGCTGCGTGGAGACCTCATGGCAGCCTTCCAGTATCTGAGGGGGCCTATAAGGGTGCTGGGGAAGGACTCTTCATTAGGGACTGTAATGATAGGACAAGGGGTAACGGGTTCAAACTTAAACAGGGGAAGTTTAGTTTGGATATAAGGAAGAAATTCTTTTCTGTTAGGGTGGTGAGGCACTGGAATGGGTTGCCCAGGGAGGTTGTGAATGCTCCATCCCTGGCAGTGTTCAAGGCCAGGTTGTACAAGGCCTTGGGTGACATGGTTTAGTGTGAGGTGTCCCTGCCCACGGCAGGGGGTTTGGAACTTGATGATCTTGAGGTCCTTTCCAACCCTAACGATTCTGTGATTCTATGTATAATAGTCGATTTCTGTGGCTGCTTATAAGGATTGCTTCCTTTGACATTTTACTAATCCTTGGGAATTATAAGCCATCCTTCTTTATATAGCAAGAGAGGTTTAACAGAAAAACTGCATCTCAAGTGGCTTAGACAACTGTATTTCTCAGCTGAATGTTGTATGTTATTAAGCGTTGATTTAAATATCTTGAGGGGGCAAATGAAACAGGCAGAATATCACACCTTTGCCAGTTAATGATGGGAATTTCTGTAGGAAAAGGTAACTTGGTGACACGAAAAGGCATGACAGATAATGTAACTTACCCTTATTTCTCATAAGCAACACCGAAATTGAGAGGAATAGACTGTATTTTCCATATTTATTTATTTTTCATATTTCTGTTGATGATGTGCCCTGCTCTGTTCGTGCACGTGTGCTGCCATCTGGTGGAGGCTGCTTACTGATCTGCTGCTTGCTCCCCTTCGATGGTCTCCTGCATGTTATAATTTATGTTTTCAGTGAAGAAGAGGTGCTCTGATGGCTCATGTCACAATAAACTGAAATACTTCTCTTCTTTTCATTGTGATGAGAGGAGTAGATAATGCTAACTCCCCGCAGTCCTATGAGTCATAACCTGCCACTGGTCAATTGAAGAACTGTATGAACTGTTGGAGAACTGTATGAACTGTTACAACCTCCCAGTTTTGTTCTGGGTACATAATAGGCCTGCAGACATGATTCATGACAGGTTATTTTTGAAGGAAACAGAACATCTTACAAGTTAGTCTTTGCTGGGAATGTTTGTTATTGTCAGATGAAAATGTAGTACTAAAATTTAAAAAACAATTGTATTTTATTATTTGATTTAGGTTTCAACAGCATTACAAAGTCGCTTAAACAAGTTTAACAGCTTCATTGGTATTTCTTCTGTAAATTAGTATGTAAAAATAACTTCACAGAATCATAGAACGGTTTGGGTTAGAAGGGACCTTAAAAATCATCTAGTTCTAATTCCTCTGCCATGGGCAGGGACACCTCCTGTACCAAGTAGCCCAGATAATCTTTTGGTTTACACTGAGATCTTGCAATTTTCCTAGATTACCACTTGCACTGGTTACAGCTGGATTAGAACAAATAAATGAGATTCACA